GACACTTAATAAATTGTTGATGAGATTTAGTAATATTATATCTAAAACCATATTTAAATTCTATGAAATATATATTATATACGCCAAGTAATATAATAAATTTAATACAAATGTCAAATTTCAAAAAATGATAATAAATATCTATACACTAAAATAAAATATTGTTCTTATTTTAGAATAAATATATCTTAAAATAAAATATCTAAATAAGGAAACTTTAGTAAATTAATATCTCTATAAATTAATAAAATTTCAAAGTCCCAACATTATTAATTTATAGAGGTTTTACTGTACTTTCAATTTTTTTTATTTAACTCGTTTTTTTTTAATTTCAAATTTTATTATTTTTTTTGCTTTTGGAGTAGGTCAGTCTTAGGTAAGGGAAGTTACGAATATACCAATTATGGCTCCAATGTGAAAAAAATAAACTTCTTTAAAATCGTTTGCTTGGCCAATCAAGATTTGTTATATTTAGTCAAATGTTTTTGTAAGGAAAATTTGTTGCAACTGACTAAAAGAAGTTGCTTCATAAGATGTACAAATACATTTTTTAAGAAACAACTCTTTTTCATAAACATTACTTTATAAGATAAATCGACTGAATATAAACTAATTAATTTCTTTAGAAAAAGGTAATTAGTTAGCTATAAAGATATTCAGCGACTAGTACAAGTCCATTTTGCTCAATTCCTTTGGTCTATCTAAATTTTTGATATTGTTTTGTTGTTGATTCACAAGAAGAATGTCTGTTTTCTAAATAGATCAAAATTAATGACAGTGGCTTTGCAAACAACATTCTTTTTGGAGAATATGTTTTTCTAAATGAATAAAATTAGTGATACATGCATTATATTCATAGATTCATATACATATCATACATTTTTTTTTGCATACCATACATACCTACATCATATGCCATTCCATATATACATTATATGCATACATACACTCATATGCATTCATACATTTATATGCAGACCATACATATATACATCATATGCATACCATACATTCATAGGCATACAGACACTCATATGCATACATACATTCATATGCATACGTACCTATATATGCACTCATACATACTTGCATACGGCATATCTGTTTATTTTTAGATTCACACTTACTTCCATTCTTCTTTCTTTGTTAGATTTTTTTTTCTTTTTTTTCCTTTATACATTTTGATCCTCTACTTATCTTGCCTGCTTGCGTCTTTGCTTCTTTGTTGCTTACTAGTTGCATACTCCCCGCGCAAGCGCGGAGCTGGGATCATTGTGTTTGCGTATATTTTTTTCGATTGTTGCTTTAGTAGATTCTTCTAATGACACCAATTAATAATGAAATGGAAAGAATGTATAAGACTGTAAAGTGAAACTATTGTATATATATTGTGTTAAATGTTATTTATAAGCGAAGTAAGGTTTATAGGAATAATTAGGCTATAATATAGTTTTAGTGTGTATAAGTAGGTGTATATTTTTTTTATTGCTGTAAATAGTTTTTATATTGTAGGTCAAAATTTGATATAATTCTATATTTATAGTATTTATATTTGTATTAAACGATTTATCAATTTGAAAATAACCTTAATTAAGTTAATATTTGTTGTTTAAGTCTCATTAAATAGGTTTTTATATATGGTTTTTTGTAAGTTTGAGTTTTGTTCATAAATGATGTGGCATTTTTTATCTATGGCGTCATCGACTGTGGGAATCCATTCGCCGGAGTCTGGAGTCGGTGGTGAGGAATGTTTTCAATGAAATTATAGTAGTTATTATAATGTAAGAGAATTTACATATTCATTTAATAAATAACGAAAAGTACTTAAATTTTGTTGTTTATTTTATTTTATTTCACATACAAATTTTTTTATATATTAAGAATGTGTTAATGTTTTTATATGCAAAGTAAGGTTTATAGGAATATAGACTATAATATAGTTTTTAGTGTGTAAAAGTAGGTGTTTTTCTTTGCTGTAAATAGTTTTTATATCGTAGGTCAAAACTTGATATAATTCTATATTTATAGTATTTATATTTTTATTAAATGATTTATCAATTTGAAAATAACCTTAATTAAGTTAATATTCGTTGTTTAAGTTTCATTAGATATATTTTATATATGGTTTTTTGTAAGTTTGAGTTTTTTTCACAAAATGATGTAGCAACTTTATATACGGCGTATCGACTGTGCGAATCCATTCGTCGGAGTCTAGAATCGGTGGTGAGAAATGTTTTAATGAAATTATAGTAGTTATTAAAATATAAGAGAAATTACATATACATGTAATAAATAAGGAAAAATCATTAAGTTTTGTTTTTTTTTATTATATCTCACATACAATTTTTTTTGAAAATATATATTAGGAAATATGTGCAATGATTTAACTTTTTGAGCTTTTAATCTATATTATTCAAGCCTCATTAAGCCATCCATGTATGCAGCCGCATGAGACTCTTTTTTTTAATTTGTTTTTTGGCCCGTTCGTTTTGGATCATTTTTTATTATTTTTGGGTTGGACTATATTATAATATGACAGTTTTTAAGGCTCTTTAAGCCATCCGCGTAGGCAACCGCGTAGGACTTACTTTTTTTTTGTTTTTTATATTGTTTGTTTTTGGACCATTTTTAACTATTTTTGGGTTTGAACTTGTTAAACTTTAGAGTTTATCCAACTCTTTTGATCTTTAAAATAATAAGCAAAAAAAAAACATAAAAACCCTATAAACAAAAAGCTCATATGATAATATTCCAAATCAAAAAATCAAAAATAGATGATAACAACGTGGTTTGAACCCACGATCTTGCAGGCTTAGTTAGACACTTGATACCACTCGGCTAAAGTGTATTTCATTATTCCTAATCATCTTACCAAGACTGTTACTTTTTAAAAAATACATATGGGACCCACAAAATTGCTGACGTGGCGCGTTGTGGAACCTAGAAAGTGTACTATTATAATATAGATTTTCTGTTTTGATTCACTGCTTAGTTGGTTGCTCCTTTAATTTACTTGTTTTTTTTCATTTGTTGTCTATTTTCCTTGCTTCCTTCTCTGCGTGCTTCTTTGTCTCTTCCTTGCTTTCTTGATTCGTTGTTTTGTATTCTTGTTTGCTTCTTTATTTTAGTCCCTGACTCTTTACTAGCTTCCCACTTGCTTATTTTCTTGCATGCTCACTTCTTCTTCACATACTCAACGTGTCGAACTTCTTTACTTACTTTCCTTAACTTACTTACTTACTCTTTAGATCACGTTCTCAGTTGTTCTTCCTATAGTTTCTAATGATAGTTTCAGCCTTTCAGGTAATTACTCTGTGAATAGTACACTACAGATGGCCCTGAGTGTCACTTAAGAAAAATTCCTTCTCGTCATCAACATTGCCGCTACATGGACGATTGTCTTAACACAGTTTGAATTATCATTCAGTCAGAGCAATTCAAGGAAGCAAGAAGATGTAGTGAGGAGGAGGATTTGAGAACTCAAGAAGGAATAAATAAGTGAGGAAGTGAGTTCTTAGCAATTAGACTTGCTTTTTCTTCGCTGATCTCTCTCTCTTTGTGCATGCATGGTAGCTTGACAGTTCGCTTGACGAATCGTACACACAGCTTTCAGGAGGTGGTAGATAACGGAAAACGGTATACCTGTGGTATTGGGAAGCAATACACATTAACGGACAACGATTCAGTAAAGAGATATGTGGTGGTTGAATACCTGAAGGATGCTCAAAATGAAGACTTTTCCTGTCTTCGATGACAGATTTCAATGGGCTGCAGTACATTTATGTTTGGGCATGGCTCAACTATGTGATAGAGCTTACCAGCCCAAGGTTTCGGCTACTAAGGCCCAGTTGTAGTATTATTTAACACTTTTTGATCTTACTTGTTAGTTATGTTTGGAACCAAAAAATTACATAAAAATATGTAAGATTATAAAATACTTTCATTATTATGTGTACATGTTTAGGTATTTTCCTTGATTTGTAATTTCATATATGTGAATTTAAGAAAAAAAAAAAAACTGGATACCCATTCTGATTAATCAATTGGAAAGAGTTTTACACCATAATTTAAATATCTTGAAATAGAAAAACGAAGGAAGCATAGTATAATAACCATCTAAAACTCTTGTGAAGTAGGTTGGTTTGTTGAAAGATACTCATCAGCCTTGAACGTTCTCGAACCATATACAGATACGTAAGTCCTCACATCCTGTTTAATCTGTTTTATTAAATTTGTAATAAAACTTATTATTATTTGCATATATATATATATATATTTAATACATGCTGCAACTAATACATCAAATATGTTACTAGTCAATTATTTTTTTCTAAAAAAAATAAACGTATATCGAACTTATTACAAAAGTCTACAATTTATACCACATATTTTTTACTGCAAATTACATCAAACTATAATTTTTTTTTTTATAATTCAACTTTAATACAACATGTCACCAGTTGGAACCATATTTTTATATCTTTCCTTTGATTCACCGGATTCGGTTATTTTTAATCATCTCCCTCTTGTGAGGAGAAAGCGTTGTCACTATATCATCTTCCTATGGAATGGAAGGAGGTGTTTTCTCGGCTTCGTTGCTGAGTGTTTGCTTCAGCTCCCTATTTGTCACCTTGCACGGGATCTAAAGGTATAATCAAGATTACTTTGGTAATTTTTGTAGATGAGATCTAGACCTCAATATCACATTACGTGACTACTTTACAGCTGTCCGGCTTTGTGGTAAAACTTCCATGATGCATTCAAATATTGTCTTGAGTTCACTATCCTCTTCGGTTGAAGATTTATCTTGTTTAGCTCTTTATGATAATTCCTTCTTTAAAAAGAAAAAGAAAGAACAGTGGGTCTATACACTATAAGCAAATCGTAATTGTATTTCTACATTGACAATAAGTTCACTGACCTTAGTTGAAATCATTACCAAGATTAGGAAACATTACTCAGAAACTAAACTAAAATTTTTAATTAAAAAAATAGATTTGGTTGATACTTTTTAACAATATAAATAGAATTATGAAGCGACACAGCACATGTAAATGAAAGCACATACAAGATACAGAGAATTAAAAAAGCAACAAAACACAACACAACGTTCCTTTACAACTCGCCACATCACTATAGAGATATAACAAGGTCCCTTCCTCTTGATTATAATAAGATTCATACAATAACAGGTATCACGTTTATTTATGCTGCATATTTGTATACTATAAGAGATTTACAAGTTATTTATAACACTAAATGATTGTCCCTACATAAGCATATTGTAATTGGAAAAGATATGGACGGAGGCACAATATGTACACGAGGACTCATGCCATTGGAGATAGCCTCTTTCTGGGTCCCAAATTCCTCATCTCATTTCAAGAGATAAGAGAATGAACTTTCCAAAACCAACAACTAAATGCTCTATAAACTATATAATTCATAAAAAGTCTCCACTAACTAACGGCACCATCAAAACTATATATAAACACTATCATCAATCACACAAGTGATAAAACAGCACAAGATAAACAAAAAAAGAAACCTAAAAGAGAGTAAAGATGTATTCTGAAGTCTTCCAAGAACATTTCATCTCAAGAAAGATCCTATTTGATCACAACATGCACCAACAAGAAACTCATGCACCTGACAAGAACAACTTGAGCGGCAACGTTCTAACGCTTCTCTCTATCCTTGTATGCGGTATCATCGGCTCCATCGCGTTGCATTACTTTATCGGTTGCATATTCAGACGCTCCTCCAGTTTCATGATCGCTGATCCCATCTCTAGCCCGCCCACACCACGAGTGTCAGCAGGAAACAAAGGCATCAAGAAGAAAGCTCTCAAGATGTTCCCAATAATAAAATACTCACCAGAGATCAACCTCGGCGAGGAGTGTGTCATTTGCTTGTCTGATTTTCTAGTTGGAGAACGGATACGGCTGCTTCCAAAGTGCAACCACGGGTTCCATGTTCAATGCATCGACAAGTGGCTTAAGCAGCATACGACTTGTCCGAAGTGTAGACAGTCTCTGGTTGAGACATGTCAAAAGATCTTAGGCGAGTGTGATAGAGCTGACCAGGTTGCAGCAACACCAACGGAGATCATAGATGTCATCATTTCTCCTCTACAACCTGAAGCAAGAGTCAACTCTTTTATAGAAAGCAGCTAGAGAGCATGCCAATAGTTTATGTCCGTAGTTAATAGGATGAGCATTTTTCTTATGATTTTTCCTTGAAGCCCAAAATGTATAATGCTGGTTCTTGACAAGCCAGATGAAACATTTGCCTTTATCCATCTTAAAGAGCTATTATACATATGATAAATCCAAAAATGTTTATCAAATTTTTGTTAAGATTCATCCAAAAATGTTTATGGTCCATAAATCTCATATTCGATCATGTGTACATAGAGAACTTATCTTACGCTGGCATCATAAGTTTATCAGACTTTTCTTTGAGTTTTGGGCGGTATATAAATTATTTATTTCCATATATGCAATATATACTCACAATCGAAACCATCACACCTACCAAGAAAAAAAATTGATAAATGCTTTTAAAAAAATTCTCCTGCACATTCATATCACACACATAAAGTAGAAAGAAGTAAGCACTGCTTCTGGAAAGAATTGGTTTCGGTGAAGCTCATGAACACCGAGTTATTACACAAGTAATTAAGTAGAACAAAGACTACATGATCAGATGCCATTTAGAGCACTTGCATCATCGTGGATCTCAAAAAAATGTTTAAATTTCTGTTTTTTCTTATTTTTTATTTTTTGATTTTCCAAACTAAAAAAAAAAAATTAAAAGTAACCAGTCGCGGGCCACCACATGTCGTGGGGCCCGCAGAATAGGTCAAGCACCCACGAAAATCGGCGCTTATGTGAGCAACAAAAGCGTCAACTTTTGTTTTTATGTGGACCCCTCCCCTTACCTTTTGTTCTAAGCGCCTTGCGATGAAAGTGCTCTTAGGCTTGCTCTTATAAGTTATAACTCCATCCATTCAGTAATCTTGGTACAGTAAAAACATATAAAATATATGTATCTCTATAATATTATTTGAGAAGTCACTTTCTTAGGTGTCGCGCTCACGTTAACTCTCACGCTGGTTGATTACTATGATACCCCTAATGAATTAAAAATATATTTAAATATTATTATTTCCTTTTTAAAATCTTCCAAATAACAATATAAAACAAAAAGGAAATATTTCTAAAATTTACAAAACTATTTAAAAACGAAAAATAAGTATATATATAATATGGTTTCATAAAAAAAGAAAGTTTACAAAATAGTAATATTTAACTTAAATATATTTTTAAATAAAAAAAATATACTTTTTAAGTAATTATACTTTATATCTATATCTTCTTAGATGAAAAAAATATTTGTATATAATGTGTTTTCATAAAAAAAATTCATACAAATAATCTTGATATTAGAAAAATAAATATTTTTTCATTGAAAAATAATTTAAAGAATAAAATATATATTTTCAAAGCAATTAGTTTTTGTATATATCTATCTATTTTATTAGATGATTACATAAAATAATTAAGTAACATAAACTGATATATGTTTAATTGACAAAAAATTATAATTAGTATATTTATTTGATTATAATATCTTACCGTTACAACAAAAAATATAAATTATATTTTACTTATATAATATAATTTCCCAAAAACAATCACATTTTTACTGCATGTTTTAAGAGATATTAAAAACAAAACTAAAAAAAAAAATTAATGGTAAACATCTTTTGATCAGATAACTACAATTCTTTTAAAATATCATAACACTATATAATTTAACGAGGTAGATATATTATATTTTAATAGTTAAAATTATATATTTTTAATAACTCTTTTGATGTTTAATTTTCTGTTTTTATGTTTGTGGAATTTAATATAACCATAATCAAAATACTTAAGAAAATTATAATTCTTTATTTTAAAAATTATTTAAAATAAATTTCAGTTTACCATCCAATCAATCTAAGGCATAAATTATTTAAAATTTCTAAAATATTTAATTATTGTAAATATTGATATGTNTTTTTATGTTTGTGGAATTTAATATAACCATAATCAAAATACTTAAGAAAATTATAATTCTTTATTTTAAAAATTATTTAAAATAAATTTCAGTTTACCATCCAATCAATCTAAGGCATAAATTATTTAAAATTTCTAAAATATTTAATTATTGTAAATATTGATATGTTTTCATAAGCTTCTGAAAATTTATTATTACCTATGTATGTAATTTAGAATCAGACACTTTAGTTTTTATTTTTTTCATTCTAAGCACAAAAAATATTAAAATACATAATCTTACTAAGATATACTTATATTTCTAAGATAACAATCAACATAAATGTAAATAAAACAATTCATCAAAAGTTTAAGATATTTAGAATAAAAAAGATTATAGTTGAATTCAGAGAAATAGATAGAATCCAATATATATATATCCAAATGATAAACTAACTAAATATAATATATCTAAAATTATATATAACTAAAATAATATAATATTATTAATATAATTATACATAAAAACTATAAATTAATATAAAAGTTAAAGTAAATATCAGTCAACTATTATAAATATTTATGCCCGTGCATGAGCACGGGAAAATCACCTAGTATATATATACGTATGCTCCAAAATTGACCCCATGGTAAGTATTTTGGGAAAGAGTATATTATGGATTCATGGTCCTAAAGATAAGGAAAATCAGCTCGGTGTGCCTGGAAAGGTATAGGGTAAGGGACCCAACCCGTAATAAGGTCAAGGAAAACCACCTATAAGTCACTAAGTGAGTGGGTAATAGTCAAACCTAAAAGCTACTTTAAGGAATACTTATAGTCTTGTAATATATCAGGCAACACACATCACACGTGGTATGAGTCATTAATGGAAAGCTTCAACTTAACAATCTGCTTAAGTGATGAAACACGTTCACTAGGATAAGTCCCAATGGTGAATCACTATCTGAACCGTGCATATTGTTGTATTATAGCATAGTCCGTGAGAAAATTGAAACAATACATGCTGGATTTAGATGTTAACAAATGACTTTTATAGTGGACCGTGGTCAGCACTCGACATTTGCAGATGAACTATCCGTTGGAGTATTGAACTGCGATTCTACAATTACGAAACAATTGATGCTAGCTTATAACACAAATCATATGATTCATGGTGCACTCAATGTACATATAGTGTTCAAATAAGATTGTGCTTTTTTCGGTAGGAGGGGATCAACCATTTATTATTTGCCAAACTAGCAAAACTATGTAGAGGCAGAACCATGTACAAGGGCCATGGTTCTCCAAGACAAGTCACAGATTTAAGACCAATGGAACTAAAAGAGCGAAAAGCTCAGTATTAGAGAATATCAAATTCCAGCACAAGAAGATGATAAATTACCACGCTCATATAACTAGTTACATGACTCTTCAAACACAATGAATGATGCCAAACCCAAACCAATTCAAAATCAAATGCATCCAGTAAAAAAGTGTCTTAATATTGGTGTTCCAAGGATACCCCAATTCTCACCTTATTACATCACTGGACCACTTTAAGTTACATCATTTGGAGAAATACGGTAAACTGATACAACTTTAAATCATGCTCTAATTGACATTTTATCTATGTTGCACCGGGATGGATACGGGGACAGATAAGGGTACAGAACGGGGACGGAAACATCAAAACTAAAAAATTATGAGTACGGGTACGGAAAATATATATGTCAAAAATATATATACTATCCATAATGGTCAAAATAAGAAAAGATTACACCAAAATCTTTACATAAAAAATAATTTAATATATTATTTTAAATAACAATAATAAAAACAATAATTAAACATTTTTTTAATCAAAAGTTGGTTCATCTAATAAAAGTTCATAAACTTAGAAACAAGACTGAAAGTTAAAAATACAGTTAAAAGTTTACTTCCTTTTAGTTTTTGGAAAAAGGTAAATGAATTAGCTTAAGATACAATAATTGAAGAAAATTCATTTCAAATATTTCATAAATGAACTACCACGTCCCCGTAGTGTCCCCGTGCTATTTCTTTGGTGTTTCCGTCCCGGGAACGTTTCCGGTACGGGTACGTGAACCTAACTGCCGTCCCCGTGCTTCATAGCATTTTGTTCATTTTAACAATCACGTAGTAGGAAGACTACCAAATCAAGAATGTGAACCAAAGGACGCACACGTATCACATGGCATTCCAAGCAGCATAAAGCGATAAAGGAAAAGTTAATCACTTTCAGGAAGGGATAAGAAAACAGACCACTATCTGTTATATGGAACCTAGTGGCTCATACAAAACAAAAGACAAATCATTTTCAGAGTGAGACTGGTGCCAAAAAGCTAGATCTCCCCTGCTTTGCAACACCAAAATACATATAAATCTAACTAGGGAATCACTTGGATCTAATGTCCCAAAAACACAGGAATATAAGTACCAACCAATCAAAAAACTAAAAAAAAAGATGAATATAAATCAAAGATAATCAGTGTAGATGGATGTCGCAGCATAGCTTAGCATGCTTTATACATTTCTTTGGCTTCGGATAGACTAAAAACCATAATGTATAAGACAGAACAGAGAGGGCAGTGAACAAGAGCCAAGACTCAAGAAGGTATATTATCTCAATGCTATTTCAAAGATTAGGGAAAGTTCATGGCTGCTAAGCTCATGGGTCCCTGTGAGCAACTTTTCAATAATTTGGGGATTTGATTTGCCAAATTTACTGCCATATTCGGTAAGAAAGCACACTAAGATATTACAGATTCAGTGGAGAATCCATATAAGCCTATAAGGTGCAGTCTAATAAATAAAATAAAATAAATAAAACACTAAAGGCCCCTCTGCTAATTTCCCAAGCATATTCCACCAACTAAAATTCAAAAAATTCGATTAAAACTATTTCTCATTATATATCAGAAATTATATGAAACCTTTATATTTCCATTATATATATAAAACCTGCAAGGAAACCTAGAAGATCTATCTATGTCTTCAAACTAACTTTTATCATGTCGAGAGCAACTTTTTCTCCCATTATCAAACCAAGTAAGCTCTTCCAAGATGTTCTTGAAAACTTCTACTCAAGAAGACTACTACTTCATACATCTTCTCAACCACCTACCATGGCATCTCCCCAGTTTGCAGACTCTCATGAAGCACCACACTCTTTTGCACACCATATGAGCTTTGATTCATATGGTGTCATGGTCCTATCAGTTCTATTCTGTGCACTAGTTTGCTCACTTGGTCTGCATGTCATAATAAGAGTGTTGATGAGGTACTCAAATTTGTTATCATTCCAAACTAGTAACGAGCTAGCAGTTCGCTTGGCCAACACAGGGGTCAAAAGAAAAGCCTTGAAGAGTTTTCAGACCCTAAGTTACTCTACAGAGCTGAAGCTGCCTGGTCTAGATACAGAGTGTGCCATATGTCTCTCGGAGTTTGTAGCAGGGGAGCGAGTCAAGCTTCTGCCAAAGTGCCACCATGGATTCCATGTCCGGTGCATAGACAGATGGCTAAGTTCACACTCTTCTTGTCCCACCTGCAGGCACTGTCTCATTCAGACTTGCCAGAAGATAGCTGGATGCAATGAGACGTCCTCATCACGTAATCAACCACCACATGACATCATTAGCGTGCATATAGCACCATTAGGACCAGAAAGATTGATACACGGTTTCTGAATACAGCTAACTAGACTTAGGTGGAGTTATGTTGTAATTTCTTATTCAAGATGAGGGTTTTGTCTCTGTAGTTTCATATTCAAGATCTCGGTATCATTTGCAGTTTACAGTTTTAAAGATTTTGTATGACATTCCACAAAATGAACAGAAGATTTTAAACTCACGTGAGTGATTTAAAACATAAACAACTCAAAATCCAAAGATAGGAAGCTGATAAGGCAAGACACTTAAGTGAGGGTATCAAATCAGCTCAGAGAATTCCTTAATCATGTGATACCACTAACTTGTTTGTTTACTAATGATTAATTACATAACAAGCTATGACAATTAAATAATTTTGAACTAAAGAACAAGAAGGAGACCTTTCTTTTTTTGGTTATCAAACTTGTAGCGAACTGAGTATTTGGGCTGTGATGAAGATACAAAAACGTGACAAAATAAGCCGCAAGGAATACTCAAAAAGACCCAACAAGAGAAAAAAGGTTTTAGTATAATCCACCCAAATGACAACAAGTCGAAGATTGAGAAAGATATAGAATCTGAGCAGGAAAACCACCAGAGTGAAATCAGATTTTAACAAAATGTGTGGCTTTTCAGTTTGAATATTGTACTAAACTACTAATCATAGAAAGTAAAACGGTACGCTGAATTAACAACCAGTGTTGGTGCTGTCAAATATCAAAACATAGGTTGCAGAATCTATAGACCATTAAGTGCCAAAAATCAATCATTCAACACTGAATAAGTGAGCATCAAATGTAACAGTAGTGCCAAAAATGGTGGGCTTATACTTTGTACTGCCATAAAGAAACAATCTTGGAATATTCGAGAGAGACAAGCAATCAGTTGAGTAAACTATACAAACTGCTTTAGACTATATGGTCCAAAGGCCCATGGTTTTCAAATCCAACTGAATATAGACATGGACATCTAGAATTCAAAAGAAAAATCATAAAACATTTATAGGTAAGAACTAAAACATTTATAGGTAAGAGCCAAAGATAATAGTCAGGTCTTTTTGAGACTATTAATAAGGCTCAACATACCAAAGTTTACTAAACAGTATAATCATCGTTTGTTGCTTGAAAACAATAATATAGTTCTACATAATTCCTTCAGTTGATCATAGCCTGTAAGAACACTTCCAATGGGAAGTTCTTACGGCGGATTTCTTAGCGTAATATAAAATCCGTCTCTTAACTTTAACTAAAAGAGTTAGGAACCGATTCTTAAACTTTTATAGTTAAAAATTAAGAGACGAGTTTTTATATTCCGCTAATAACTCTGCCATAAGAACCTCTCATTAGAGATGATCTAAACTATAAGAACCCCGTCATAAAAACTTTTTATTGAAAATAGTTTAAGTTTCTGGTGTACGGTGTACCGGATATTCAAATGGTTCGCCTTAACTAAATCACCATAAACTAGGGCTGTTCAATATGGTAATACCGAACCGAACCGAACCAAAATAGACAATATGGTTTGGATTTGGTATATACCATATAAACCGAATGGATATGATTTTATAAAAACCGTAGGATTTGGATATGGTTAGGTTTATAACCGATTAAACCGAACAAAACCGATCAAAGAAAAATATATAAATATATACATTATATAACCATATATTTTCTTGGAATAGTCTTTTTTTTTTTACTTTTATATTCCTTGTGAACATATATCTTAATAATTTTATTTTATTTTCTTCAACTATTATCTAAATTTGATTTTATTTTGCATGTTGTAAGAAATTGTGAAATTAGATTGTATCATGTAATTTATTTGGAACAAGAAATAGAAAATAAGAAAAGTTGTACAAAACTGAATCGTTGGTCGTTTTGTTTGTTGTTATTTTCAGATTTTTGTATTTATGAACACCTAGGATTATTTTAATAAATGATAGTTTTGACAATATTTTTTTTTTAAATTCATATAATATGAAATCAAATCAAATAATAATGTTATTTGGTATAAAACCGAATAAACCGAAAACCGGTAGTATAAATACCGAACCAAACCAAACTAAATATGGTTTCAATATGGTAGCTAATTTTTATAAACCGAATAACCGAAAACCGAAAATAACCGAACCGAAACCGGACCGAACACCAGATTGAACAGGCCTACCATAAACAAATAATAAGTCATCTATTATTGTCATGTTTTGTTGATCCACGTAATAATTCACATTTCTTTCTAACAATAATTCAATACTTTAATAACTGAACGATGTCATTTATTTTGTAAAAGTATATCAGTCCTCAAAACAGAGAAAAAAACTTTTTGAGCGTTATTTCCTTTTTTTTTGTTCCATCATGTATTGAACCTCCTCCATATGAGGATTACTTAATCTCTTATTAAGCAATAAAAAAGTCTTCGAAAAAACTTGGGTTATCTGGTTAATTATGGCATCACTTCTTGTTTTATCATATATACACATTTATTTTCAACTATTTATTTATCTATCTTAACAATCAAAGCATTACTGCGTTTTTTTGCTTAAATAACTTGGTTAAATTTCAAAAATGAATATTTTGGTTAAAAATATTTTAAATGAAAAGTTAGCAAAACGAATTTCATATTTTACATGATTGTAGGGATGGATGTTTCATGCTTATATATCATTTTCTTTTGTTGTAAGAATTTATTCTACTACTTATAACGATTTGAATTAAAACAATACTATCAATTGGAAACAATAGATTATTAGATTAATAAATCTGGAACTTCATAGTTGAAAAAAACATGAACTATTAATATAGTATTCAATTGAATTACATGTAAGGTTTAAGACTTAAACCGAATAAATTTAGAGGTAACTAAAAATTCACATATTAAAAAGCAAACCAACTTTATGGGTGGATTGTGGTGTGCCACTACTAGCAAAGTTGAGAGGGAGAAAAAGCTACAGATCTCTAGGATCAAGCAACCCATTAATTACATTCTAAATGCAGAGAAAAAACTAACCTTAATTGACTTTTCTCCAACAAAAGAACATGAATGTGGCCTGCTATATATATATATGACTTTTATATTTTGCTAAAAACATGAACATGGCCTGTCTCATCATATAATAAATAGTGAGAATCAAATGTAATCATAATAGCAGCAATGAAAACCACAAGTAGTTTCGTAATGATGGACACAACGTTCTCGTACGTGCCAGCTTAACCTTCCCACATTCTTTCCCAAGTTTCCCTCTCTCACTCTCATGTTTCTTAGCATATGCGATTCACGTGGCTCTCATAAAGTTGACTTTTTAATTTTCATCTCTTAACGAAAAAAGTTAATGAGGATGGATCATAGTTGTTTTGTTTTCTAGGGTTGAGCATGAGGATTGTATGGCGTTACTGCTAACACTTTAACGTATTATGCATTCGATGATATGGAAATATACTCCGTTTGTAAGAAAATAAAGTATACTCAGTCTGTAATCCAACTAATGTGGTCCATGAAAAGCTAAAGAATGAGGATCCAGAAGAGAATTGGCCATCTAACACATGCATGTGTAATCAAATAACCTAAAATACTTTGGATTCCATAGGTTAAATCTATCTCGCGATAGAAACTTTATTGATACATAGCTTCATGCCAAGAGTTAAGATACCCATTAGTAACGTTAGTGTGTGAAATTCAGAAAGAACTTATTATCTCAATGTATCGATAGATAGGTGATATAGGTTATCATTATCTAAGTGGATATATATGGCACTAGAAAAGGCCATACACTATGTATTTTGTATCTCAACTTGACATTACCTATAGCAATCACATATAGTAAACTATTTCAGAAACTCTTATTTGTGTGTCAGCAAAAATATAAACAAATCATTTACCATCGTTTTGACGACTTCGGATGTACATGTAGTGGGAACTATTTAATACATTGGGATGAAATATAATATTTTAACACATAATCAAAGTCACTTTCTTTCACGGCCTGATCTTACTATTCCACTTAAAAAAATTAAATAAATATGATTCGATCCTAATAGAAAATGAATTAATTAAGTTGAATTTTGTGAAATCTAATCGAACAAGCAACCACGACCGTATTGACTTGGTTAAGTTAACACTAGCTAAAAAGAAAGAAAGAAAAAAACAAAGAAAATGGTTTTCTCAAAAAAAAAAGAAAAAAAAAAAAAAGAATGGAGCTGTCATTTTACGCGAGCTGATAACAGTGAAGCCATCTCAGCAAACACATCTTAATTAATCCAACGGATGAAAAAAACAAATCTTAATTAATCGGGCCCTAATTAATCAAACGGCTGAGATGATTAAAATAAAATTTAAAAAGGGGAGTAATTAAGTAGTTAACACGAGGGAAAAGGCTGTCTGACAGCCAGGTCACGTTATCTGTTCTTGTGGTCGAAATGATTCGTCCTTGTCGATAATTAAATTAATTATTTATATTTTATTTATTTGTTTGAAAGGTCGAAAATAAAGTAGTACAGATAATAACCCCGCCTGCCTATTTAAATTCAAGCATCGTTTCTCCCTCTTTGAATTGTGTCTCTCTCGTTATCCTCACCTTCATTTTCATCTCCTGCAAGAAGAAGAGAAAGAGAGTGAGAGAGGATCATCGTGGTTCCTTGCTGCTTCTTCATCTTCTTCTGATATTTCTCGCTCAAGGTAAACTTTCTAAATCTACTTTATGATGATCTGTTTTGGATCTAGATCGTTTTCGTAGAGATCTAGAATCGGTTTGAACTCGTCGGATCTATGAACTAATTTGAATTTTTAGGAGAATTAGTTTGACCGATCGTCTTTAGCTCGTTTAGTGTTTGATGATTAGATCCATATTCAGATTGAAATCTTGAACTCAGATGAAGTTTGATTATGCAGTGAATCGATTTAAGGGATGCTCTGTTCATGGATTTTCTAATTCTTGCAAGATTATTGATTCTGTGAATCTGTATCTGATCGTTGTTCATTTTTTGCAGTTTATTAAAAAATGGCTGAGGCTGATGATATTCAACCAATCGTCTGTGACAATGGTACCGGAATGGTCAAGGTTAGTTACCACTTATCTCTCTTTTTATCAGAGATCTGTGGAAAAGAATCTTCTCTTTTTGATGATGGCTTTATGAACAGGCTGGTTTTGCTGGGGATGATGCTCCCAGGGCTGTTTTCCCAAGTGTTGTTGGTAGGCCAAGGCATCATGGTGTGATGGTTGGGATGAACCAGAAGGATGCTTACGTCGGTGACGAAGCACAGTCCAAGAGAGGTATTCTCACCTTGAAGTACCCTATTGAGCATGGTGTTGTTAGCAACTGGGATGATATGGAGAAGATCTGGCATCACACTTTCTACAATGAGCTTCGTATTGCTCCTGAAGAGCACCCTGTTCTTCTTACCGAGGCTCCTCTTAACCCTAAGGCTAACAGAGAGAAGATGACTCAGATCATGTTCGAAACTTTCAACTCTCCTGCTATGTATGTCGCTATTCAAGCTGTTTTGTCCTTGTACGCTAGTGGGCGTACTACCGGTTAGTATTACATCTTAAGCAGCGTCTCTTTGGTTTCTCGGTTTTGGAATCATTGATCGCTGATTGTCTCTCTGATGCTTGAACAGGTATTGTGCTTGATTCTGGTGATGGTGTGTCTCACACTGTGCCAATCTACGAGGGTTTCTCTCTCCCACACGCCATCCTCCGTCTTGACCTCGCTGGTCGTGACCTTACTGATTACCTCATGAAGATCCTTACCGAGAGAGGTTACATGTTCACCACAACAGCAGAGCGGGAAATTGTTAGAGACATCAAGGAGAAGCTCTCCTTCGTCGCTGTCGACTACGAGCAGGAGATGGAGACTTCCAAAACCAGCTCATCCATCGAGAAGAACTACGAGTTACCCGACGGACAAGTCATCACCATCGGTGCTGAGAGATTCAGGTGCCCGGAGGTTCTGTTCCAGCCATCGTTCGTGGGAATGGAAGCTGCTGGAATCCACGAGACAACTTACAACTCGATCATGAAGTGTGACGTGGATATCAGGAAGGACTTGTACGGTAACATTGTGCTCAGTGGTGGAACAACTATGTTCACCGGTATTGCAGACCGTATGAGCAAAGAGATCACAGCACTTGCGCCAAGCAGCATGAAGATTAAGGTCGTTGCACCTCCGGAGAGGAAGTACAGTGTCTGGATCGGTGGTTCTATTCTTGCTTCCCTCAGCACATTCCAACAGGTAGAAGATTTGAAATGTTTTTATTTCAAAAAATCTGCAATCTGATTGTTTATAACCAAAGGCACTGATAATCATTTTATATGTTTGTTTGTGAATAGATGTGGATCTCCAAGGCTGAGTATGATGAGGCAGGTCCAGGAATTGTTCACAGAAAATGCTTCTAAGCTCTAAAAGTAAAAAGGCTGAAAGCTGTGGGTTTTTATTGAATGGGATCAAAGTTTCTTTTTTTTTTCCTATCCTATTTGCTTTTTTTTCATTTGTTTGTTTCATTTTTCTTTCTTTTGTTTCTGTGCACTTGTGGTGTAACAAACTCTGGATTTTACTTTACGTCTGCGTTTGAAAGAAACAGCTTTCGATTTGCGTTAAATATAGTCCATTGTTTTTGTTACTCGAGTGATCGAATTGATGATGCATTATTTCTTTCAACACTGGGAAGAAGAACATTTGATACTCTTTTGCATTGTCAATCAATATAAGTATTGTATGAGATAAGATTTTTATTGATACTGGCTTCTATGTGTTACTGCTTACTAGTATGCAACCTTTATCAGTTAAACTTCATCTTGGAATCGAGAGTCCAGGCATTATCTGACTCCCCTCTCCCCTTACATATGAAAAGAATCTATTGTGACATCTCACTAAGCGAAAGTCAGGTTTCAATGCACCTATACACTACATGCAATATAGTATAACCGATCACACTATCCACAACAATTATACTGTTATAACGTTTTACCAGTAGACTGTAGACAGTTGGAAAAAATAATATTTGCAGATCACACTAACCGCAGACAATCACATGTGCTTTATAATCGGTTTACATTTCTTCTTCGTGTTCTCTTTCGTTTCAGCCCAACCGCGCGTCTTGAGTTTCTCTTCGGATTTCCAAGTTCTTATCAATACTTCTTTGATTATATATAGTGTTATTAAGCTGATATATATTGTATTTTATTTAACATTTTCATCATTTTTTAATATTTACTATGGGATCAATCTCTTAAGATGTTATACTAATTTGTTATGACATCACATATTGTAATCAAATAATATTAATTTCTCAAAAAAGATTGAGAAGATAGTGTTGATGAAGAAGAAGATGGAGTTGTTGAGAGAGTATGCTAGTGATGATTTGGTTGAGCAGGAGAAGGAGGCTAAAGCGATGCTTAATATCCATAGATGAGGTGATGATTGATCCTATTTAGCTTTTTAGTTAGTTTCTATTGCAAAAAGCTTGACTTGAGTTGATCCATGTTCCTTGTAGTCTAGAAGAATAGTATTAGCACTCTTGTGGATGGAGCTTAGCTTAGGTAGATTACAAAACCTTGCCTAGTTAGTGGTTGCAAAGGATTTTTTTTTTTTACTGTGCTGTCTTGATAAATGCGAGAGACTGATTAATCTTTATTACTTTCTCAGGCTAAATCTAGGGAAATGAGCTGTTTTGATGGTATGCTCTCTGTGCTTTAAGCTAAAGTAAAGCGATCTTTTCCTCTGGGAACATATATGAGACAGAAGGTGGGGAGAAATGTGAGTGAGAAACAAACTCTTATTCTCTTATTTTAGCTTTGACTTCTGTATGTCAGTTTCTTTGCGGTCACGGAATCATTTCTTTCTCTTGCAGTCACTAAAATGAATCTAGTATTGGTATAAGACATAGGTTGAAACAACCAGAGACTACTCACTAGCATTTGTTCATATATTAGCATTTTAGCAGCCAGAGAACTCTTTGAATGTCAAACTTTAAGATTTGATTCAATATGGGTTGTTTAATTCCCTTTCTCATTCATTCCATGTCACACTTGTGAAATCTGAAGTTAGAGAAGACTATTGGTAGAGAGATAGGAATAACAATTCAATATTAGCAGACATATAGCATTATAAATAATCAATCAAACGTTTTGAATATTTTTTCAGACACAAACACAAATACATCAATGGTCAGAATCTGACCAAAAAAAATAAAAGAGTTGATAAAGATTTCGTAAGGAAACAAAACACAGCAATGTTGATTTGTTTGAATCTAACAGCTAAATCAAAACTCTCGGCTAGGAGTTGTTTTGTTGTTGTTAGCTCCTCCTCCTCCTCTACGAGTCTCCTCACTGCTCGAGGAAGATGGGTGAAGCCCATACTCGCTCGTGTTCCCATACTCACTGCTTGCACCATAATCCTGGCTGTCCAACGCCACTTTCCTGAACTTCTTCATATCCGCACTGTAACTTCCCGAGTCATAGTCTGAGCTTGACCCCCTCCCGAAGAGTGCGCTCTGTCCAGGCTTCGTTCCTTCGTTCAGATCATCTAGCGATGCATCTCCCTCCAGAGCACGAACAATCTGTTAAAGAATCATTCAGAACATGTGGTTTGGATCGGACATGTTTAGAGATTATGTTTGTGTCCTAAAACTTACTTGGCTCATCTTAGGCCTGCGTCTAGCTGAGTGTCTGATGGCTGCAACAGCGCAAGCCACCATTCTTGCCATCTCATAAGGCTCGTAATTGTTCTCCAGACGTGGATCAACTAGTTCACTGTAATCTCCGTCTTCAGCGGCGTTTAAGCATAAGGGTCTTGCCTGTGTAACAACAGTTTTTTTTTTTTTTTGGTAAATAATTGATTAGGACATAAAAATTATATCAACTGGTGATAATTGTATATAATGTTACTGACCCAATCAGCCAAACTGTCTTCCATTTCACCAGTGAGATCAACAGGTCGGCGTCCGGTTATGAGCTCAAGAAGCATCACTCCAAAGGAGAAAACATCAGACCTGTCTGTTAGTTTCCCGCTTGATGCATACTCTGGAGCCAAGTACCTGCCATTTTATTCAGAATAGGAGATTCTTGATTAGATAAACAGATTCTTGGGTGTGATAGCTATGTTGTTGAAATAGCTATGTTCTTTATTACCCGAAAGTTCCCATGATACGAGTGGACACATGTGTGACGTTGTCCTGAGATAGCTTTGCTAAACCGAAGTCTGCAACCTGAAGATTTGAGACGAAGTCCGGCTATAAATAACGAAACAAATAACAAAGAATCTGAAAAGGATGATGATTAGAAAACCAGGAGATTACCTTGGCTTCAAATGTTTCATCAAGAAGAATGTTTGAAGCTTTAATGTCCCTATGAATGATTCTTGGATGACCTAAAGCACACAAATTCAAGAAATTAAAGTTTGATCACATCTCTAGTTAAAGAAAGATTTGTTTTGAAACTCACAATCTTCATGCAAGTAAGCAAGTCCTTTAGCTGATCCCAAAGCAATCTTGAGCCTTGTAGGCCAATCAAGCATGTTACCACTTTTACCATGGAGATGAAACTCAAGTGTGTCATTAGGTAAGAACTCATAAACCAACATCCTCTGTTCTCCTGCAATACAATACCCAACAAGAGACACAAGAAACCGATGGTGAACTCTACTAATGATCTCAACCTCAGCCTGAAACTCTCGTTCTCCTTGTCCACTTCCTGCTTTAAGACTCTTCACAGCGATCTCTTTCCCATTAGGAAGTATTCCCTTGAAAACATACCCGAACCCACCTTGCCCTAACAATCTATCTTTAGAGAAGCCTTGAGTTGCTGCAGCTAGCTCGTCGTAGGTGAATGTGCTCTGGTTGAAACCTAGAGCCACTGAAGGGTGCGGTGGTGGTAGAGGCGGACCGTGTGGACCTGAGTAGATCTCGCTGCTGTTTAAACCGCCTGAGACTGGTGGTTGTGGTTGAGATTGTTGCCAGGTTCCAGGTGGTGGTGGAGGTGGTGAATTCATCCAGTTGTGATTACCGTTTGATCCAGAGTATTGATTAGACATGTTCATTACATGACCGCTTTGGTTATTGTACTGTTGTTGGTATTGATCACCCCCACCTATGATTAACAAAACAGAAACTTTGTTTAACCTTGTTGCTTGGGTTACAAGAAAATAAAATTTAAGTGGCTTTTCCACTATGTATCGAAGAGAAATTACCCCAAATAACAATAAATATTTTTTTGCTAAATAATTTAGATATAAAATATCACCAAAATAGTAATTATTAAAAGATAAACATAAATATTTTTTATATATTTGGATATAAGTTTTATTGATTATAATTTTAGGGAGTGGGATTTTGATTATGTGTAAGATGTAGGATAATTTAGTGTTTTTATTGATTAGTAGATTATGTTTTGGAGATTTTCTCTTCACAGTGTTATTTTGTGGAGAAAAAAAACTAAAAGTTGTTATTCATGAGAGTTGACTTATACATATCAAATTCTCTGCATGGTCAAAAGATTATGGAACTTTGAAAGGTGGTTAGAAGATAAGGATATATTTTATTGAGTTAGGTTATTAATAGAGTAATCTTGGTGCACAAGAAAGGTTCCAAAAACTGATACTAGGTTAGATTAGGAAGGGATGACTTGACTTGGTGTTGACTATTTGTGTAATTTACCTTTGCCTGTAGCGTAACCATTGCTTGCATAATACGGCATTTGATGCTTCTTTTTCTTCTTGCGACAGCAACAAACGCAGAACAAGATCATGACAAGAAGCAACAATCCAGCACCAGCCGCGATTCCTATGATCGCACCCGTGTTATCATTACCTGAAGACTTTGAGCCACCACCACCACCGCTTGATCTAGGCGGAGCTAGCGATCTTGGTGGTGAAGGAGAGTTACGGTCGGAGTTTCTAGAAGGAGGCGAAGGCGAATTATTGTTGCTTCCTCCACCATTGTTGTTATTCCCATTGTTGCTTCCTCCACCATTGTTGTTGTTGTTGTCATTGTTTCCACCATTGTTGTTGTTGTTGTTATTGCTGCCTTGTGGTGGAGATGGTGGAGATTGTGAGTCTGAAGAAGGCGGTGGAGGAGAGGAGGCGTTATCTGGCGGAGGAGGAGAGGAAGCATTATCAGGGGGAGGAGTAGCTGGTGGTGAAGATGAAGGAGGAGGAGGGGAGGAGGAGGAGGAGGAGGAGTCAGGAGGCGGAGGAGATTGTTGTTGAGTGGTGTCGGAGGAGGGGGGAGATGGAGATGGAGGTGTAGGTGACGGAGGTGAGTTCTGCGGGGATTGCCCCTCCGCCATAATATCTTTTGGATGTTTTCTTTGTGTTTTATTTATTTATTTATTCGGAAGCTCTCTCCTTTAAGAGTTTCTTAAAGAGAGAGAGAGGGGGAGGTTGAACAAAGATGAACACACAAAAGCTCTTTGTTGTGTTCCAAAATCCTATTTTTAAGAGTGCTTTTTCAGATTTTTCTAATGTCTTATTTTTGTAGGGTCTATATTTGGGAATTAATACAGCCATGCAAATTATGTACCTTTAACTAAATTTGAAAAGAAAAAAATTACAGGCAAGAACTCGATCATCATGGTGTTTACTAAAGAAAAGAAAAACAAATTGATTGGTGTACAGAACAAGAAAGACAGATAAATAGACGATAATCACTGGTTACAAAATACATAAGGAAAGATGGGAAAAAATGAAGAAAAAAACATATATATATACAGTATATATGAAAAAATGCTCTCGTTGAGAGTCGAACTCAAGACCTCCCGCTTACTAAACGGGTGCTCTAACCAACTGAGCTACGAGAGCTGTTCGAAAGATTAAACCTCATAAACAAATTTAACTATTATTTATCTAACAAAGTGATTCTCTTAAATTTTTTTAAAAAAGCCTAAAGAAAATTAAAAAAGACAGATCAGAAACAGCTTTTAGACTCTTCTGGTCTGGGCAGAGAGAGAAAGAACAACACCTTTTCTTCAACCAGACACAGAGATCATAGAATCTCTCCTTCTCTCTCTTTTAGATCCGTTTACTAGTCGGATTCAATGCCTTCACGTAGACGTACTCTCCTCAAAGTCATCATCCTCGGCGACAGCGGGTGATTGATCTCTTTGGCTGATTTTTAGCTACTCTTGATTTTATGTTGTGTTGATAAAAAATCAGTAACTTTTGTGAGGCTGTTTAGTTTATTTGCTAAACTTGAAAACTTTTGAGTTTACTTCACACCACCTTTTGATTGTCTATTCTCTAACATATTGGCTACTTTAGTTTGCTTTCTTATAAAGATTTGCATTTTCTTTCCTGCACTTTGATGTGGGAGAAACCTATGAAATACTGAGACTTTCTTATAAAGTTCTGTTTTTTATGTTTACTTGAGTGAAACTAATTTTGGAGTTCTCTTCTTTGTGGATTTTTGCAGGGTAGGGAAAACATCTTTGATGAATCAGTATCCTTATTTTTTTTGTTTTGATTGGATTAACAAGTATGCTCTAGCAGTTTTGTCTTGATTTGAAAGCAAAAAAAAAAAATAGATTGTTTGGTCCTTGTTATATGATTTTGCTGGGTCTTATTAGAGTTAAATGAGTTTTGAGGTTATTGTTTTGGGTTTTAACACTATTAACTTCAGATATGTTAATAAAAAGTTTAGCAACCATTGGAGCTGACTTCTTGACTAAGGAAGTACAGTTTGAAGATCGGCTTTTCACTTTACAGGTCCTTACCAGTGGCTCTACTTTATTTTGTATGTTGTTCAGTCAATAGAGAGTTTTTGATTTTAAGAGGATTGAGGAAGGTGTTGGCTTAGAAAACGCTAACTAACTAAGAAGTTTCTGCCAGAAATTTTCAGGCTTACCTTGTTTGTGAGTCATGCTACCTACATTGACTTAGTTATATGGTAGTGTCAGGCAATTAATTACATGTGTTTGGAAGAAGCCATGAGGATGTATGTGATGTAAATTAGAATGAGACTCAAGTCCCTAGACTATTTTCATGTGTTTCCTAATATCTTTTCTTGATAACTATCACTCTTAAGACAGAAATAAGGATAGTTACCCTCTTTGCTTGAACATAGCTTACTTTGTTTCGGTCTTTTCTGTTTAATTGGTGGGTTAGTACAGATCTGGGACACAGCTGGACAAGAAAGGTTTCAGAGCCTTGGTGTAGCTTTTTACCGGGGTGCTGATTGCTGTGTTCTTGTGTATGATGTCAACTCCATGAAGTCATTTGACAATCTCAACAACTGGAGAGAAGAGTTTCTCATCCAGGTAGCTTGTTCTCACCCTTTTGTAAACAAAATTTCACAATAAGGTAAAAGCAGTAACACAAAGTGTACTTTGTCCCTTACAGGCGAGTCCATCAGATCCAGAGAATTTTCCCTTTGTTCTTATTGGAAACAAGGTCGACGTTGATGGTGGAAACAGCAGAGTGGTATCTATGAAGTGCCTACTTAATTTCCAATTGTTCATTCATGAATGTCTCTGAGATGTAGCATTAATGATCACTCAGGTTTCAGAGAAGAAGGCTAAAGCTTGGTGTGCTTCAAAGGGAAACATTCCCTACTTTGAGACTTCTGCTAAGGAAGGCACCAATGTGGAAGAAGCTTTCCAATGCATTGCCAAGAACGCTCTGAAGAGCGGAGAAGAGGAAGAGCTGTAAGTTTCATTACAGTTTCTGACTCCATACATACGAGTTTGGTCTTCAACGTTTTGGTCTTTTCTTTTGTTCTCTAGGTACTTACCAGACACAATCGATGTCGGGACAAGCAATCAACAGCGGTCTACAGGGTGTGAATGCTAAGGGATTTTGATTATCTCTCCCCAGAAGAATGCTTTTGAGTTCAACTTGTCTCTCTTCCCAGTACCTCTTTTCTTCACCAGTTTATCTCTCTAAAAGATATTATATATTACATTGCTGTACATTTGTTCTGTTGTGGGTAAAAGAACCCTTCAAAACGATTTAACTTTGTTCAATAAGGTATATTATGGTTAGAAAAACTTTATTAATGCATTTTTAATTATAAACATCTTTTTTTTGCATGCTTCCAAGTAATATGAAAAAACGATTAAACAAACAATATAATTCCAGTGTAGAAAAGGCTCAAATAGCTCAAAAATATGTTTATGTATTCAAATCAGTCCACAAAAATGTAAAAATAAATATTTAAATAAAACAAACATTTTATTTTCTTAAAATACTTATTTAGAATTTTGTTCAATTTTTTTGTTTATGCTAAGTTAATTTAAAGACTGTTATGATATGTTATTTCCTATAAAGTATAAAATATTATTTTTATAAAATAAAAATTATAAAGTATGATTTATTTTTATAAAATGAGTTTCCTGCGACATCGCACGGATTCCTTACCTAATAAAAGATAATAACAATCAATAGATTTTTATATAAATAAATAATATTTCATGGAAATCTATGTAAGAATATTTGATAAATTTTTTTAAGGGCTTTTTGCAGAATTGACTTGAAACTTGAAGTCAACCACAAAACTAACCTCCTTTTTTTTTGGAATTTTATTTTGTCCAATTCACCCCATAAGTTCATATAATTCACGAAAATGCCATCAATTTGTTTTTGCTTTTTTTCTTTCGAAAATGACATATTTACTCTCTCACCCTCATCATCTTCAAGTAATTACAAGATTGCCATTGTCATCAATACTCCAACAACCATGAACAACCAATTTTGAAGCTCTTAATGCCTCCAAATTCCATTTACCCTTCTTCTTTTTCTATTCTCATGAACTAAACAATACATTACAACACATATCTCTCACTTTCTCTCCACAATGAGCTAAAAAAAACCAAGATTTTGATTCTACATTTTTTAGGGTTCATATAGTCAAAGAAATTAAAGATTCAGGGTAGATTACCTTCGTTTGAGATCATGAGTGCTTGATTCTACATTTTCTAGGGTTCATATAGTCAAAGAAAGTGGTCTCACCAATTTAAGGTATGAAATCGAGTTTTTTTTCCAGATCTGTTCGTCAAGACGACTGAAACTTCAGTCGTCTGGACGACTGAAACTTCAGTTGTCTGGACGACTGAAACTTCAGTTGTCTGCATTCGTCCGATCAACGCAAAGGTTTTTTTTGCAATTGACTTTGCAATTTGTTTCCAGAGACGACTGAAAGTTCAGTCGTCTGGATTAGTTTGATAAAAAAAAAATATCCTCAGAATCTGGACGACTGAAATTTCAGTCGTCGTAGGTTAGTTTTGCATTTGACAAGAAAACTTCAGAATTTTGACTTTTTCGGACGACTGAAATTTCAGTCGTCTGCGGAAAAATTGAAATATCAATATTTTATTAGAACTCACGACTTACATTTTGGTAGTAATAGGTTAGTTTTGCAATTGTGAAAAAAAACTTCAACTCTCAAGACGACTTATAATTCAGTCGTCCGGAAGACGACTTAAAATTCAGTCGTCCAGGATTTTATTCCGAGATTCTGGTCAAACCTTGTAAATCTTAGACGACTGAAAGTTCAGTCGTCCAGCAGACGACTGAAATTTCAGTCGTCTGGATATGNGGTAGTAATAGGTTAGTTTTGCAATTGTGAAAAAAAACTTCAACTCTCAAGACGACTTATAATTCAGTCGTCCGGAAGACGACTTAAAATTCAGTCGTCCAGGATTTTATTCCGAGATTCTGGTCAAACCTTGTAAATCTTAGACGACTGAAAGTTCAGTCGTCCAGCAGACGACTGAAATTTCAGTCGTCTGGATATGATTAAATGTTGAAGTTTTTTTTCACAATTGCAAAACTAACCTACGACGACTGAAATGTAAGTCGTCGAATTTCAATAAAATATTGATATTTCATTTTTCTTCAGACGACTGAAATGTAAGTCGTCCTGAAAAGTCAAACTTCTGAAATTTTCTAGTCAAATACAAAACTAACCTACGACGACTGAAATTTCAGTCGTCTGTGTTTTTTGGAGATTTTTTTTTATCAAGCTAATCCAGACGACTGATATTTCAGTCGTCTCAATTAACAGATTTCAAAGTCAATTGCAAAACTAACCTCTGCGTTGACCAGACGACTGAATGTTTAGTCGTCTGGATGACTTAGATTTCAGTCGTCTGCTTCTATCTTTAATAAACATTTGTTTTCTTGGTTCTATGTTTGCTAATGTGTTTTATTTTTACTATTTCAGATGACGCATCAGTTACGTGCAGTGTATGGAGAATGGTTGTTGGAAGATGGTTGTTGAAATTTTGTGGTTGATCGTTTCAAATGAGCGAGGATGTTATTTTGAGTGAAGGTTTGACACATGCTGATCTTGTTTCAAAGGAGTGAGGATGTTATTTTTGAGTGAAGATTCGTCACATGCTGATCTTGTTTCAAAGGAGAGAGGATGTTATTTATGTATTATGTACTTCTCTTTAGACGACCTTCATTTCATTCGTCCAGACGACCTTAATTTCAGTCGTCCAGACGACCTTATGGTTAGTCATCTCTCGGGTTAAATAAAAATTTGAAAAGACAAGTCATGCATTACATCACATTTATGATTTGTAAATGTGTAAACACATTGTTATCACATATATTACATCTTGGGAAACAATATTACTGATTTTACAAAAAAATTCACAATTAAAAGAGTACACATGCAAATCACAAAACATACCACAGACTAAACTATAATAGATCATTCCTCTACAAAGATAAGTTTGGACTCCACTTGATATGAACCAAGACAGCTTCAGAAAACTTTCAGGAAGTCCAGACAACTTTCAGACGACTTACAGGAAGTCCAGACGACTTACAGGAAGTCCGGACGACTTACAGGAAGTCCGGACAATTTCCAGGAAGTCCGGACAACTTCCAGGAAGTTCAGACAACTTCCAGACGACTAACAAGTAAGTCATCCAAGACGACTAACAGGTAAGTCGTCCAGACGACTAACAGGTAAGTCGTCCAGACGACTAACAGGTAAGTCATCCAGACGACTAACATGTAAGTCGTCCCAGAAGTCTTTAAGATCTGAAAAACCTGCATATCAAGCCCAGATCTGAAAAATCTGCATATCAAAAAACATTCAAATGGCTTAAAACACACATAAAATGAGTGGAAGATTAGATATATCTATATATCTATGAAGTATGGTGGAAACAGCAGAGTGGTATGTATGAAGTACCTACTTGATTTTACATTGTACATGGATGTCTCTGAGATGTAGCATTAATGATCACTCAGGTTTCAGAGAAGAAGGCTAAAGCTTGGTGTGCTTCAAAGGGAAACATTCCCTACTTTGAGACTTCTGCTAAGGAAGGCACCAATGTGGAAGAAGCTTTCCAATGCATTGCCAAGAACGCTCTGAAGAGCGGAGAAGAGGAAGAGCTGTAAGTTTCATTACAGTTTCTGACTCCATACATACGAGTTTGGTCTTCAACGTTTTGGTCTTTTCTTTTGTTCTCTAGGTACTTACCAGACACAATCGATGTCGGGACAAGCAATCAACAGCGGTCTACAGGGTGTGAATGCTAAGGGATTTTGATTATCTCTCCCCAGAAGAATGCTTTTGAGTTCAACTTGTCTCTCTTCCCAGTACCTCTTTTCTTCACCAGTTTATCTCTCTAAAAGATATTATATTACATTGCTGTACATTTGTTCTGTTGTGGGTAAAAGAACCCTTCAAAACGATTTAACTTTGTTCAATAAGGTATATTATGGTTAGAAAAACTTTATTAATGCATCTTTAATTATAAACATCTTTTTTTTGCATGCTTCCAAGTAATATGAAAAAACGATTAAACAAACAATATAATTCCAGTGTAGAAAAGGCTCAAATAGCTCAAAAATATGTTTATGTATTCAAATCAGTCCACAAAAATGTAAAAATAAATATTTAAATAAAACAAACATTTTATTTTCTTAAAATACTTATTTAGAATTTTGTTCAATTTTTTTTGTTTATGCTAAGTTAATTTAAAGACTGTTATGATATGTTATTTCCTATAAAGTATAAAATATTATTTTTATAAAATAAAAATTATAAAGTATGATTTATTTTTATAAAATGAGTCTCCCTGCGACATCGCACGGATTCCTTACCTAATAAAAGATAATAACAATGAATAGATTTTTATATAAATAAATAATATTTCATGGAAATCTATGTAAGAATATTTGATAAATTTTTTTAAATCAACCTAACCTTAAAAATTTACTCAACTTTTACATTTCTTATGGGTGTTTCCTACGGGGGCAGAGAGAGAGTTGGTTATCTTGATGATCCTAATCTGATTCCTTGTGTTGGAAACGACGCTTCTATTGTATAGTTTTGATGCGATAGATCTATGCTGCTTAAGATTGTTAAATTAACCAGCGCTTATTCTTGTGAAACTTGTGTTTCAGTTTATGCTACTCATCTTTCAGAACCCGTATTCAGTTGCAAAGGTATTACATTTCTTTTGCCTTTCAAGAATCGCATTCGTAGCTTCATGGGTTGGGACTATGGAAAAGGCAGTTAGCTTTAAGATTTTTTCATTTAATTTTGTTTTTTTCGAAATTCTAGTGAGACATTCTAAACGTATATAATGTTGATGAAAAACATGGAATGATGATTAAGCTTACATTGTTGGTGAGTTTCTTCTAAGTTGAATTAGTTATATGGTAGTGTCAGACAATTATTTTACATTTGTTTGGAAGAGATCATGAGAATGTATGTGATGTAAGTTACATGAATGAATCACTAGAATTTTTTTTTTTTCTGGACAAATCACTAGAATTTTTTCATGTGGTTCTTAATAGCTTTTCTTGAAAACTATCACCCTTCAAAAATAAATAAGGATAGCTCCAAACTGTTATTGTGTCTCATTCCATAGTGGTCAAGCTTTCACATTTGTGGGAGCTACTCTGTTTGCTTGAACAAAGCTATCACTTGTTTCTGTTTTTTTTTCTTCACCAGTTATCTCTTAAAGATGTTTAATTTATTACATGCTGTAAATTCAAAACGATTTCACTAGTTTAATAATATTTTATTATTTGGATCATTACATTATCATGCTCACAGTTTATTGGGTCCAATCTCAACCTGAGGATTCGAACTCGAGTTCTTGTCATTCTTAGGCTTACTCTTGGAGTCTCTCCACCTGAATCCACTAAAAAGCTCATCCATATCCTCAAGCATCCTCCCTTGCGTCTCCGGCAAGAAATTGTAAAAAAACACCCAAGCCACCGTCGCAATCCCTCCAAACAAGTAAAACGCTCCTCCCGTCGTCATCGCCTTAGACATGGAAAGAAACGTCATGGAGATCACACCACTCGTCACTCTATTCACCACCACGGCCATACTCGACCCTTGTGACCTCAGCCTCAACGGGAATATCTCAGAGGTGTAAACCCATGTGATAGGTCCAGCTCCTATAGAGAACGTAGCCACGTAAGTCATCACCATGGCGATGCTTAACACCAAAGCCCACATCACTTTCTTCTCTGTATGGTCTATAACCGTTAGAGACGTTCCTAACGTAGCCAGAGAGAGTATCATTCCTCCTACGCTGGTGAGAAGCAGTGGACGTCTTCCGACTCGGTCTATGAGGAAAGTTGCAACTAGTATGAACGATGTTTTGACGATTCCTACTGCTACGGTCGCTAGAAGCTGCTGGTGATCTGTTTTGAGACCGGCCGTTTTGAAGATTCGTGGTGAGAAGAGAACCACTGCGTCGATTCCGGTGGCTTGCTGGAAGAAATGGATTCCCATCGCGGCGATCATGACGCGACGGACGGCTGGAGTGGGATGGATTAGAAGCTCTTTCCATACTCCGCTGCCGTGGCTGGTCTTCCTTGAAACCTGTTAATGTGATTAAAATTGTTAAATTCAGTTTATCTTGAGTTTACAACAAAACCAAAAATGGATTAACAATAATCATGTATTTAATAAATATTGAGAAACCAAGACAAAACTAGGAAAGAAATCCCACTAGTCCCTACAGCTAGTCTGATCTAATGTGTCTGAGTTAGTGTAAAATTAGAAAAATAAGAGTAGTATTGAGTTGTAGTATGTGTTGTCTGTTGTGTCTTAATGATTACATCTAAAATTCAATATATGCACAAGACTTCAATTATCTCAATTAGAAATAGAACTTATTATTGTCCAAAACAAAAACAAAAACAAAAAAAAGAAATAGAACTTATTATTTAGCCGAAAAAAACTTACCTAACTTAACTAATATTTTTTACAATAGATTTTAGATAATAATCTTCCTTTTGACTTAAAAAAATTGGCTTCACTTTATAATTAGACTTTAATTAATAGATAATAGTTGATCTGCACGATACACATGCTATCCAATATAGTCTCTCCGTTTTAAAAAGTTAAAACGTTTTAGTTTTTTCAGACATATTAAGATAAAATAGAAAATTTTGATTACCAATGTATTATTTATTATAGATAACAAATCCCTATATTTTCTAACCAATTAAATTTTAAGAAACACAATGTTTTTATTTTAATCTACAATTTTTCATTAAATTATATATTTAAAATGTAAAAAATACATCTTTTTGAAAAAAATATTATTTCTAGAATGTTCTTTTTTAAACAGAGAGAGTATCTTTAATAAGTAAGTCATTACTAGTATTATTAAACTACTTGTGTTTACCTGAACGACGTCGTCGTGGCAATCTGCGGGGATTCCGGCGGCTTCTTTGATATCTTCGAGGCGAAGAGCGGCTTCGGATGGGGAGTCAGAGACCTTGTCGAGGACACGTTTGGCTTCTCCGAGACGGCCTTGTATAACGAGCCACCTTGGAGATTCCGGCATGGCTAGAACGCCGATCGCAAGTATAACGGAAGGAACAGCTCCGATGCCGAGCATGAATCTCCATCCAAGCTTCAGAGGAAACTTGGAGAAGGCCAGGTTCGATACATAGCCAAGCATTATCCCCGCGTTGATGAACACCTGTACATGACGTCATCATCTCGTTTTTAAAAAACCATGCATCGTTATAAAAATGATGAAATGAAAAGTCAACGATTTCTTAATAATATAATAAACTTACAAAAAAAAAAAACAAAGTAAAAATATAGGTTGCAACTGAAATGATATTTTGTGGGATAAATGTGTTTGAAATGCATCATTCAGTAGCATCCATAAAATGTTTATCACTTTTACAATGAATATTATTTTAAAACTATATCCCATTTTTGGAATGAAACAAAAATATAAATCTTTTGTAGATTTATTTCCTTTGTTCCATATCATAAATTTTCATGAATGGATGGAAGTCAAATATTCCATTAATAACTACCATTTCTATTATATTTTATATATCATTCCATTTTTTTCTAGTCTATAAATATTCATTCCTGTTATTCATGATATATTCCTTTTTAGAAATAATAAGTTGCAGCCATATATTTCAAATCTCTTTTGTCATCTACTTCAAAAAACATAACATCATGTGCTAAGTTAACGTAATTTTTTTTTTTTTTAACTTTAAGTTTAACGTAATTCTACACAAATTAAAATAAACTATGTGTATTTTTCAATGGATCATGGGCTACTATCAAACATTGAGTATATAATAAGATCTTTTTATCCAAAAAAAAAAAATACGAAGATTAATTAATCTCCACTGAATCTAATTAATTTGGTTAGGCATTAGCATATAGTATATACCTCAGGGAAGGAGGTGAGAAAGCCACGAGAAGATGCCGGAGCGACTTCGGCGGTATAGACAGGTGCAATCATGAGAGCATAACCGACTCCTATTCCGGCGACAAACCTCCCGAACACGAGGAAAGCGTAGTTAGGGGAGAGACCCATGAGGATTGCTCCGGCAAAGAATATAGCTCCGGCCAACACGATTGTGTTACGCCGACCAAGCCAGTCTGAGGTTTTACCGGCGGCGCAAGAACCGACAAGTGAAAAAATGTTGAGTATCCCGGCGAGAATACCGACTTGAAGATCAGTGATATCGAAATCTCTCTTGATATAAATCAGTGCCCCACTCATCACTCCTATGTCTGCAAATTAATAAAAAGAATATTAAAGAACATTAAAGAATGTGTTTGTGTTTATATAATTAGCGGTGGATTTTAACTTTTTTTTTAGATTAACGAGAAAACTGACCATAACCAAGGAGGATGGAAGTCATGGAAGCTAAGATTGCACACGCGAATGCATACTTGTTCCTCTTTGGTTTCACGGGTGGACCTAACTCTGGTACATGTTTTGTTGCCGGTGCCATCGATGGGATTGATTGGTTTTCCGGCGTAGAACCTGTCATTTAGAGATAGTGGAGAAAGAGAGAGAGATGTGAGGATTGAGTATACAAACAACAACTTGTGGTAATGAGAGCTATCTTAAATAGACGTGTGTATTCAGAGTTTCATGGAGAGGGCAAAATCGTCCAAAGCAATGGGAACACTGCCGGGCCAAAGATACATGTAAGATTATTTTATTTGTATCCATGAGTCTTTTAATCTTTTTCTTCTAAAAATGAATAAATAATAAAAAGAAAAAAAATCGGAGAAGAAAGAAAGAAAATAAAACTAGATAATTTGTGTTGAAAATGTAGGGAATTTTCAACCAATGTGAAGGGTATAACATTTACATTTGCATGTTTTGTTAGAGACAACAAAAAATATCATTAGAGGAACGGAAATACAAATTTCATTTTATATGTAATTATTATTTTTTTAGTACAATTATTTAGTACAATTATATATTAAACCTTTTTTTTTACTACACCACCAAAATAGAATGACTACTACAATAAAAATATACAAGAGATAGCTTAAAGGTAAGCCGTAAAGGCTAGCTACTTGTTTACCATGTGAGCTTGTTGCCTCTTGGTGTCGATTGTCGACTTGATTTTGAAGATTAAAAAATCGTTTATACTCTGTAACCTACTGGTCTAAATAAATAAATAAAATATACCAACTGATTTTTTTTTTGTCAACACCAACTGATGTTTACATACATTACAGATTTGGATCAATAATATTGGATATACTCATTCTTTATAAAAGTGTACAATGTTTTAATATTTTCTCTTGTATTCAAAAGATTGATGTTCTACCTTTAATAATAAATTTTCTTTTAAAATAAGTATAAATGAAAATGTAAAAAATTAAGTGGTTGATTTTTATTGTGAACCAAATAAAATATTAAACTAACTAAAAGTAAAATAAAAATAGATAAAAGAAAATATTTACTTTTTGTAATATGTGTGAATAACCTTAAACATTATATATTTATATCTAGATGGATATTTTTTTTTATAATCCGGATCATTCGAACCATAAAGACCTGACTAATCTCAAAAACTAGAATAAAAAATTGGTTGCTTAATCTCGTCCCAACGAAAATCAAATCTATAGAACCAATTTTTTTTTTTAAATTAAGAACATTTTTAATGAAGGTTCTATCTATTAGAATTCTAAACATGAAATGTGTATATGTATAAATTGTATATATTGTAAAGAGTGGGTTTTTTTTCACAAAATATACCCAGAGGCAGACCCATATAAAAAGATGGGTGGCAACTGAGACCCCTTAAATCTCTTTTAATATTATTTTGAGTTTGGATATTTTTATTTATTCTACCAAAATACTTATGAAATAATTATTTAAGGTATTTGTTTAAATTTTAAATATATTATATCATAATAAACATGAAATTTGATATTTTGAATACTTATTTAGATATCAAATATCTTTTGAATACTAATTTGATCTCTATATCCGTTTTCTTTTGGATTTTTTGTCTTATTCGAATTATTGGGTACGAATGATAACATTCTGGGTTTGAATATGTTTTATATCATCTATTGGAATATTTTAGACCTTTTGTTCAGGCAAGGATTCATATTTTTGGTCTTGCTAGGGTCAGTTCAGATCAAGGATTCCATGTTTTTTGCATGGCCTAAATTCTAACTACGTTAAAGCTGATAAATAAGTGTCTTTCTGTTCTTAACTGAAAGTCTGAAATGAATAGGTTTAATCTAAAGAAATAAATTTTAGTCATCTGATAAAATATTTGTGAATACTATTAGTGAATGTATAATTTAAGTACTAAGGTTCCCTGAAAAATCCGGGTCAAAGCACCCACTACTCCAAAGACACATGTCTTGATCCTTGAAGATGATAAGATGTAAATTATCACTCTAACAATAATACTATAAGATTCCTGCAGAATGTTGTAAGATGCTATTTATATATGGTATTTATATGGATACTTGCAAGAAACCATCAGTCGAGAAGTCGTTGGCATACAAGAGCAGTCGCTGTTATGAAGAACTATGAATTGTCAAACAACTTGCTTCAACCTGTATAGACTACATTAGTCTAATTACAACAACAAAAAACAAGTAATTATCAAAACCATTTTGTCTTCTTTTTTTTTTTTTTTTTTTGACTTAAACCATTTTGTCTTCTTGAGATGTCAAATATCCGTTTAATTCATTTCTAGGTATTTAGGAGCGTTTTGGTTGTGGTTATTCCCGTTCAGCTTTACTATTTGCCATATCTAATTCAACTTTAGTCCCTTATGGGATTAAAAAATATGCTCTAGTAGGCTCGGCATAAAAATATGTAAGTTCTTAGTTCTAAAACTTTATGCGTATAATCTTATATTTATAAACTACCTAAAGTCAGTGGCGGAGGCAGAAAAACCATTTACATGGGTCATACATTGTTTCATGTTTAATATAGCTGTTAAATTATGAAGCTTTAGTTGAATTTAAATTTAATGGGGGTCAGTTTACAATTTGGGTGGGGGTCAATTTGAAAATTTTAACTATACTAACGTTGTTTTTCAAAGTTTCATGTGGGTCAATTGACCACCCTAATAACAAGCTAGCTCCGCCACTGCCTAAAGTGCTTTATTTAAGAAGATCAAGGAAATCCATATCTAAATGCATCTATATAGACTTTAGAGTACATGATAAAGCCCTTTGCTTTCTTCCCGATTACATCAGTTTCTTAGCTTTTTATAATATGTTTAATGATACGCTTTCTTCTATCATGTCTACTATTACTTTAATTCACTACTCAAAATATTGATCTCCTTATAAAATCGTGTGTTCTCACTATGATGCGTATAGTGAGATGATGAAGCATGTCTCATGTTATGGATAATAATCACAATATTCATATAATATTATTAGGGGTGGACACGGATAGTATATCCAAATTTTTTGAAAATATTCATGATCTGATTTGTTTCGTCTGAATCATCAATTATTTTATTCGATCCACAGCCATCTGGATATTCGATGTCCTGGATATTTGAAAATTTCTAGATTTTTAATCGGATATTCGGTTCGATCCGTACAAATAATAAAAAAAAATCCAAAACATATAAATAATAATGTTTTAGTAAAAATTAAATTTTAAAGTTTTAATAACTAATATAATAAACTTAATAAATAAAACTGTTGTAAAACTTATATAAAAATAATATTTTGTTACTTATGTATAATTAGTTAAATATGTATATATATAGATATATATGCATATAATGGATCAGAACGGATATCAATTCTTTAAAATATTAGTATTTGTTAATTGTTATATTTCTTATGGATATTATATTTTAGTATTTTTTTGCTTTTTAGAATTACGAATATCCGAATTTTTCAATTTGAATCACAGCAAATAACAAAGCGAATCAAAATATATGGATATTTTATTCATTCTTAAATATCAGTATGGAAAAACTTTTTTAAAAAATAGCAAAAAAAAGTAAATTTTCACCATTACCTAACTTTAGTATGTGTGTGTGTTTTGTCAAAAGGACTAATTAATAGTCAATATTACCTCAACATATCATGTTTGGAAAGTAATCCAATAATTGAAGAAGTAGTAAATGGTGAAGTGGGCCAAAGTTTAGCCGAAAAGGCAGCCATCATAGGTGACCATAACTTTGGGCAGCTCGGATCTTTGGACTCTCTTATGATATGATTTGACTTCCACTTTCGTATTTCCAGTGTGATTTTACCCATATACATTCGTAAACTCAGAAATATGAACTATTTTAAGAACAGATATTATTATAAGAAATTTTTTGAGGAGAGTTAAAAGAAGTGAAATGAAACTTAAAAGCCAAACAACAATGTATCAATTAATTCAACACATAGACATCATCTTATCTTATTTATCATCTAATGCTGTAATGCATGCATAAACAATTAATTAATAAGAAAGTGTCGGTACTCAAAATTCGTTGACTTGAAAGTTGACAGTTGGGCCATGTTGACGCTATAAGACAATAATAGTTTAAGACCAGAGTAGTCTCAAAACATTTTTTTTGTCAACAAAATAATCATACATTGAACGGTACTGGTAACCTGACCGTTACGTATGTATATGATTAACATTTTGCCAGAAAATAATACTTTAAAATGAGCTAGCTCATCACGATATCATTGAGATTTATGTTAATTTGGGTGTAGACTTCTACAGGTATGGTCTTTATTCGTTAAGCCAAGATGTGGAGAGTCCACACAATCTTATAAGCTGTACCAAAAGTCCACCACGTGCTGTTGAATTTGACACTCTCCTTCCTCTTTATTTCAGAAGCATAAATGTATATTGTTGAACAAAAAAAAAAGCATATATGTATATATTACTGAATTTGTTATATACGTATATCTCTTTTTCTTAGGATTATGAGACATCAAAAGAGAAATGGAAATTTCTGTGACATGCGGACAAGATGTTGCGACTATTCCCGAGATGTCGTGATAGGCAAACGAATTAAGCCTATGTAATCTTAGCCATAATCCAAAACTAAGAAAAATACTAGTTAGTCAAAGGAAAAGAATATAGAATATACAACATATTTTCCAACGGATCTCGAGTATATTGGGAAAGTAAAAAATAAGTAGCTAATTAGTAGTATAATAATATGAATTACCTGAGAATTCAAACTGAAAGATTAAGACAAAAAAATTCGTCAAAAAATTAAGAAAAAATCTATAGATAGATGTAAACTATATGGATTCAACAGGAGACGTCTTGCAATATTAATAACATATATTTTTAGCAAATACATCATATCTATCAAATTTGTAATTTATTTGCTTCGTTATGGTTATGGGAATTTTTTTTTGTTTTTTTTTGCTAAATGGGAATTTTAAGAAACTAGATGCTCTTAAGCTATCTATTTTCTTTAGTATATTTTTTTTTTGAAACACAAATGATCATTAATAGAAAGGGGTTAGTTGGAGGCATTAACAGCATCCTCAACTACCCAAGATTCAGCTACAAAGGTTAAAGCTTCCTTAGCCAAGGAATCAGCAACAGAGTTTTTATCTCTCGGAATCCATTTAAAGGAGATAAAAGAAAAATCAGAGACAATGTCTAGAACATCCGCCACAATACTATGCAACTCTGCAATTTCTAGAGACGAGTTCAGGCATTTGATTAGTTGGGAAGAGTCCGACTCCACTCTAACCGCCTTCAGCTCCAATCTTCGGCACGTGAGCAAAGCTTCCCGCATCGCTAACCCCTCTGCCATCAGCGATGAGCCAACGAACTCCATCCTCTTATGGTAGGGGTTGTTAAAAGGCTGAGTTAGAACAACCCAGCCCAGCCCTGCAGCGTTCAAAGGCGCACTCCAAGCTGCATCAGTTTGTATCACCATTGTGCCAGTCGGACCTGCAGTTTCCTGGCGCACACCATGAAATGACTTAACCACACCCTGTTTAGGCGTCTTATTCCATTCTTGAGCTAGTCTAATAGCGGAAGATAGCGTGTCTTCAGGGGATGCAGAGCATCCATCAAAGACGAATTTGTTTCTTGACTTCCACAATGACCACATGATCCAAACGGCTAGGGAGGTAGAAGAGACCCCCGAGGGAGGTAAGCAATTTAGGTTGCAGAGATCAGTCCAGCTTGCTAGCAAATCTATTATTCCTCTATAATCAATCTCAGACTCAAAGGGGGCGAGACACCAAACCTTTTGCGCGAACTGACAATGGAAAAGGAGATGAATGATAGATTCACTAGAACCACAACGTTTACACTGAGGGTCAGCATCAATATGTCTTTCAACTAGTCGCTCTCCAACCGGAAGGGCCTTTTTTAGTATTCTCCACGCAAACTGTTTCACCTTTGGTGCGCATCCGAGGTTCCACACGTTCTTCTTCCAGTTGAAGTTTGCTTCCACCAAAGCCTCACCCTCAAATTCCTCCAGTGCTGTGAAATAACCAGATTTGGTTGTATACTCACCTGATTTGTTTCCCAGCCAGATCAGTTTATCCGGAGCCCCGGTAATACTTGGTTTTAAGCACAAGATCTTCTCTTCATATTCTGGTAGTAGTCGTTGAATAATGTCTCTGTTCCATTGACCTGAGCTTCCCAAGATTAGGTCTGAGACCGTCAGCGAAGAAGCTTGTTCAGAAGGAGGCCCCATAGGGCATTCCTGCTTGGTTAAGCTTAACCATGGAGATCGCCAAACATTGATGGAAGCTCCATTCCCAATAGCCCACCCTAGATTTTGCAAAAGCAGGTCGCGACCAATCAGGACTCCTCTCCATCCGTGAGACATCACTGATGCTTCTCCAGCCGAAAGGAAGCTTTCCTCCATGTAATACTTTCCTTTTAGTATCTTCCCGAGCAAGCAGTGTGGATTTTGAATTAGTCGCCATCCAATCTTAGCAAGGAGAGCGTCATTAAATTTCTCAAAATCCCTCATACCAAGACCGCCCACTGATTTTGGTTTGGCCATACGATCCCAAGAAATCCACGCCATTTTCTTAACGCCTTCCGTGTTATCCCACCAGTATCTGGTAATTACTGATTGGATACGATTACACAAGGATTTAGGGAGCTTAAAGCAGGTCATGGAGTAGGAGGGGATGGAGGCCAGCACACTTTGAAGCATAACAAGTTTCCCAGCCGAAGACAGCATTTTAGTTGACCAGCTACGCGCCTTCTGCTGGATGCGTGTGACTATGGAAGAGAAGAGGTCACGCTTTTTCCGTCCGAAGTGCTCAGGAAGACCAAGGTACTTACCTACACCCCCTTCTTTACTGATTTGGAGAATTTCCTTGATGGAGTCCTTAAGATGTGTTGGTGCTCGGTGAGAAAAGGTTATCGCCGACTTGTCTTTATTTATAGCTTGGCCTGAGGCAGTTTCGTATTGGTGCAGTATAGACAGCAGGGCCTCACTGTTTTCAGCTGAGGCTGTGAGAAAGAACATTGTATCGTCTGCAAAGAGTAGGTGATTGATCCTGGGACATCCTCTTGCGACTTTGATCCCTTGGATTAATCCTTCCTCTTGAGCTCTGTTGCATAATCCCGAGAGGACTTCACTACATAAGATAAATATGTAGGGAGAGAGGGGGTCGCCTTGGCGAATCCCTCGGCTCGGTACTACCTTCCCTCTAGGCAAGCCGTTAATGAGGAAGGAGTATGAAACAGATGAAATACATTGTATTATCAGGCTAATCAAACTACGGTGGAATCCCAACCGAGCTAGCACCAGCGCAATAAAATCCCACTCGAGCCGGTCGTACGCCTTGCTCATGTCTGTCTTGACTGCCATAGCACATCTTTGTTCCGCTTTGGAGGTCTTCAGGAAATGGAGGACCTCATGGGTGATAAGAACATTGTCCCCAATCGCCCGTCCTGGTACAAAAGCTGACTGATTCTCAGAGATCAATCTATTCATCATCGGGTGGAGGTGCTTCGTTAGGATCTTAGAATAAATCTTGTAGTACACATTACAAAGGGCTATGGGTCGATAATCCGAGACCTTCTGCGGGTTAGTGGTTTTCGGAATGAGTCTAATATGAGTGTCATTGACCCCATCTGGCAGTGGAGCTCCACCAAAAAAATCCTGAATTTCCCTCACTATATCCGGACCAATCTTATCCCAATGAGTATGGAAAAAACCCGCAGAAAATCCATCAGGCCCCGGAGCCTTGTCCGCATGGATGGAGAAGGCAGCTTCTTTGATCTCTAATGCCGTCGGAATCGTCGTGAGATTGAGATTATCTTCCTCAGTGATAATGGGTCGTAGCGCACGCCGCACTGTCTCAGCTCTTTCCCCAGGGTTACTGGTGAAGAGTGAATCAAAATACTCTCCAATAGTTTGAATAATCTCCTCCTCTTTATAGACTAGCTGGCCATCTGCTTTCTCTAGGACAGAGAAGGCGTTCATTCTCTTCCTAGTTTTAGTGACAGCGTGAAAAAAGCCCGTATTACGATCACCAAGCTTTAACCACAACAGTCGGCTGCGTTGCTTCCAATACTCCTCCTCCGCTTGGTAAGCTGCGTTCAGCTGAGACGAGATTTCCTGTATCAATGCAGTATCCTCAAAAGGTTTAGACAGTGCTGTGTTCAGTTCAGCTTTCTTTTGCTCAATAATCTTCCTACTATTGCGCTGCTGGGTACGATTCCAATTTGAAATAGCACTTCTGGCACTGGCGAGCTTTTCAGTGACAGGAATGTACGAGGGTCCTCTCCACGCATCTTCTATTACTTTCTTTGCATCGTCATTGTTACAGAGGCGCCGGTCATATCGAAATATCCCTTTCCTGCGTTTACCTCCCTTATCAAAGAAGGACAAGAGGGGCTTGTGGTCAGAACCTTCAAAGCCCAAGTACTGGCATCGCGCTGTTGGGAAATCCTCTGCCCATCGAGTGTTAGCCGCTGCTCTATCCAGCCTGCAACGGACCACATAGTCACCCCTTTTACCTCTCCAAGACAATGGATCCCCAGAGTGCTGGAGGTCAAATAAATCGCCTTCCGAGAAGAACGTTCTAATATCAAAGAAGGAGCTCTACGGACGCTCAACACCTCCATCTTTCTCGTCGCTGCAAATGATATCGTTTAGGTCTCCAGTAATGAACCAGGGGGCATCACGTGGTATAGCCAGCGATAGTAAGTGATCCCACAACTCTTTCCGTTTTTTCTTATCGGTGTTACCGTGAACAAAGGAAGAAAAAAACCGTTTCCCTTCAAATTCAATAATAGTATCGATTACATTTGGAGTTGAACTCAAAATCTGAAGGTTAAGTTCTGTTTTCCAGAATAGAGCAAGACCTCCTGCCCCATGACCAGAAGGAGGAACCAGGTGGTTACAGTCATAGCGTAGGTGATCCAGTTTCTTTAGCACAACGTCATTGGGATTTTTTGTTTCCATGAGGAAGACAATATCGGGATCAAATTTTTTCGATATCTCTCCCAATCTTCGGATTGTCCGGGGATTCCCTAACCCCTGACAGTTCCAGCTTGCTACGGCTAAGGACCGGGGTTGGGAGGAGCCCGAAAATCCACCCTGCGTCTACTCGTCTTCGGAATCATGTTGCAAATCGGAATATTATCAGAGCTGGACACTTCTTCGCCACGCGGTCCCTCTGCTCGAGCTGCATTACCTTTGGTCTTCTTTGTCTTACCCGTGGTACCAACTCCACTAGCTACCCCGGTAGGGAGTTTCCTGTCTGGAGGTTGTTTAGTGGAATGGACTTTTCTTCTGCGGGGAGTTGCATTCACCAGTTTCAGGGGGCTAGCATGAACAGTCTTTCTACCTGGCGGTCTCCCCGGCTTCCGCTTCTGTTTTGGGGGAATAGTGTCACTCGCGGTAACGGAGTCATCCGCAGTGACCTCATCCATTAACGGGCCAAGTCTGGCTAAGGCTGGTACTCTTGAAGATGACGCAAAATCAGTGCCTTTTCTAGGGAGGCTTCCCAGTCTACTGGCAATAGGAGCTCGTGGCATTGAACCGATGTCAGGGGAAGCAGAAGGCTGTTCCTCAAACCTCGCAGTAGCAGAGGATGAGCGCACAACTACCGCAGCCGCCTCTTCTAGCTCTCCTTGAGCTTCAGCATGTCGCAGTCTCTCTTTGCGGGCCGCACTTTCAGAAGGATCTGCGCAACTAGTGTACTGCAGAATGGCTCCCTGGATCTCATTCAGGGCAGCTCTTTGCGGCAATTGCGGTGGAGACACGATTGCTTCATTAAGGGAAACCCCTCTGTCAGTGGTGTTCTGGCGAGTCTCCGGAGTAATTACTCTGTTAGACGCACTCCTAGGTCGGTTGAGATAGGGTGAGTTTGCTGAGTGGGAAACCCCACTAACATAATCCCGGTCTCTTCGAGAGGGAGGTGGAGAGCGGCGGTAGTAGGGGTGATCATCCCTTTTGTGATAGGAATCCTTATCATCTCTTTTTCGTGGACTTCTGTCCCTCCAGTGGTTTTCTCTTTGATGGTGGGCACGGCGAGAGAAGCGGTAGTTGCCCTCCTCTCTTGGGGGAACATCGCTTGTCCGTGAAGTCAGGGCATTTTTTGCATAAGGATGGTATCGAGAGGTCTGACGTTGAGGTTCTCTCAAGGGCACAGGAGTGCGACTACGCTCTGACTGCCTTAGTGGATCCCTAAGGGGTGTAGAGTTTGTAGTGTGTTGGCTTCCAGCCTGAGCAGCAAGTTGAGCCTTTCGCTGGTGCTTCTCCTCCAAGCAATCTTTGATTGCGTGATCTAGCCTTCCACACTTTATACAATGCTTGTCAAGCTTTTCATACTCCAATATAGCAGTAACCTCATCACCATTTGGATATTCGATGATAGAGGATTTGAGGATAGGTAGTCTTCCATTGACATGAACTCTCATGCGCATAGTTTGTTGGGTTATCTCCGCCGATTCAAACGTACCTATATCATTGCCAATGCTGCGTGCAATTTCTTCAGACCAGAGATGTATTGGCACACCTTGAATTTTAATCCAGAACGGGATGATGGACGGAAAACTGGGGGAGATTGTGGGTTCCCATCTTTGGATTATCACCATCCATCTAGCATAGTGATACGGCCGCTTCTCGAGGACTGTAATGAGATCAGACTCAAGTTCAAACTGGAATTGGAACATTCCCTGACCTAGATCCGAACCCACCGGTGGTATATCAGCCTTCCAGTGGTCCGTGAAGAAAGGAATGAGAGACCAAACCTTTTGAACCGAGGGATTTGTTACTCTACCAATGAGAGTGAGAGAGTGTTTCTGTAGATTTGACTGGTTAGGTGGTTCGGAAACCCGAACTCTACCCACCCTAGGAGCTGGTTGAATATCCAACTCCACAGCTTTGCCCTTCTCAGAAGAAGAAAGACGACGGTGCATAGTGCTAACTTCGATTACTTGAGTGCTGAACAAGAAGAGGTACTATCACAGACAGAGGTTTAAGGAGAATAGTAGAACCGTAATCTTTAGTCAAAGATATCAGATGAGAATTGAGGGGTCCTGTAATCACAGGGAAAGTGCTGAGCTTGAGGCTTATTAGAAGCCAGCGGTATATGCCTCTGCATACGCCAACTGAAGCATCACCATCGAAGGTAAGTTGACCAGAGGACACATAGGAGCTTGGGATGAGGTTGCCGGCGAGAAGGGGAGGCGGAGACGGTCCCTCCGACCAGGGTCGGGGGAAGAACCCGGAGGGTAAAGCCCAAACTTTGCTAGAACCGTTGGATAATTCTAAAAGAGGTAGGAATTTCAAAAGGAGTTTGGTTTTGCAGTAGATCTAAACCATTTCAGAGAATAAACCAGCGGTTAAAGGGTGGAGGCGAGGGAAGTCAACCGGTTAATAACCTTTATTGGCAAAGGTGCCTGAGAGCGTTTTCCGCTAGTGCGTGGATGTTTTTCACCAATATTTTCTTTAGTATATATAATCATAATAATACACTAATTAACCTAAATTTCGACCAAATGGACACACGAATAAAAGGATAATTTGTTGACGTTGAATAAAGCAGATGGTGTCACGTCGCTAATCAATCACAACATATAAGGGATTCGTTGGGCCACGTTTTAAATCAAAACAAAACAAATGTTACGACCACTTGAATCATACCACAAAATCGTAAAGGGTACTCTTTGTGGTTTATATTGAGTTAAAACTCAACAGTCTAAGATTACCACAAAGACTTTTCTTTTCCAGCGCTTTTATTTCTGTTTCCTCTAATAGTCTCTGCAACAATTTGTTTGGTACATTCTTGTCGTTGGGTTTGATAAGTGATAAAATGGTTTTAGTGGTTCAGTGGAATGCAATAATATTGCAGCAATATAGTCAAAAATGCTTCAATAGGGTTACCAATAATTAACAGCTTCTGTTCATAAAAGATGGTCAAGACTACTTGAGCAGTTGAGCTTAAGAAGAAATAGAGACCTTTGGATCGACTACTGTTGTTCTTTATTAAAAAAAAAAACATATAACAAACTAGTTATGGGTTATAACTATTTTCTGAATATGAAAATCATCGAGCTGTTTGCGCGAGATGTGAATATATATTAAAAACAAAAAAAAACAAAAGAAAAAGAAATGGAATATGTATATATATGGAAATTTTCTTTCAGTCTAAATCAATATGATTACATAAGCAGGCATGTGGCATGTGATGTACGTGGAAAGGTCCTGAACTAGAGATGAGTGGATTTGTGGACCAGTTAAAGTTGGTTGTGGTTTTGTCTAACATATTTAAAAGTTATTATATTAAGTTAAAACATACATACATAGTTCTTTTGTGAGATTCGACATGAATCATGTGTATGCATGCATGCAGGGTCCTGTATGTATGCATGTTTGCTCGACGCTCATCATTGTGAACGAATGATTGTATTCTAAGTGGCTACAGATCATTTCTAATTTGATGATCCATATATATACTATATTTTTTGTAACCGAGTCAAGTAGCAAGCCATAAGTTTCAAGACTATTGAATGTATAAAATAAATTGATACAGCGGTGCGTTTAGCTAATAAGATCGATCTGTATATACTATCCGAAGTGATTAAAGAATCATGCGGTCACTATTTCCTTAAAAGTCATTGGAAAATTAGCACAGACCAACGAACACTGTGTCTTTTGGCATGATTGTAAATTTATGTGGATGTACTATAGAAGTTTTGAATATGCTAACACGACTCGAATAGTCGAATGTATGAAATATGAATTAAATTGAGCTTATAAAGAAAATATACTCGTTGACAGTAAAGTTTTTAAAATTAAGAAAGAAGTTGCTAAGAAAAGGAAATATAGAAGATGATTTCAACAGTTTATTAACGGGCCTGGATCTTTAAAAGCCCAACTACAGAGCCCGAACAGTTTGTCTGAAGCTTGACAAAAAATTGCTTAAAAGACGGCTTATTGCATCACACTCTCGCTCTATTAAAGTCTGGTTTTAACATTGACAGCAATCACCTCGAACCATCTCAGAATGTGTTCGACGAAATGCCTGAAAAAAACGTTTACTCGTGAAACACTGATGGTGGAGTTTGAATTGATGCTTAAACTCTCTCTGTGAGAGTACCAATGGAATCTCTGGTCTTTATTCATTCTCTCATTGTGTATGTAACATGTTCTAGAGTTGAAGTGAACCGTTCACTGTATGTTTCCTTTTTGCAGTCACTCTTACTAATATATATATATTTTTAATTATTTTGAAGAAAGCAAGCAACACCAATACAATGCAGTTTAAGACAACAACAACTGAAACAACATCAACCCAACACAGAACAACAACATAAACCATTACAAGAACAATGGGGAAATCAAAACACAAAGCGAAACCCTCCAAAAGAAAAACTTTCTTAGCAAGTTACCTTAGATAAACCACACATCTCCGGGAGTTTAGAAGCGAGGTCAAAGTCGATCCCACTGAGAAAAGGATTCGTTTTGGTTTTCTGCTTGCAGAGACACTGGTCGTCGGCGTTTTTCAGGGCTTTGCAGCAAGGGCCCTCCCGATCAATCGGGGTGGTCAATGGGTTCTTAGTCTGCACATAGGGCTTGCAAGAGTACAAACCAGCAACGCTCATACCGCAGAACTGTGCCGTTGCTGCCGTGAGTGTCAAGGCAAGAACCAAGGTAATAACCACAAGCTTAGTGTTTGGCTCCATGACTTTGAGAGAGTTTTCCACCAATTTTTTTTTTTGCAACTACCTGATGGGTTTGTTCTTCTCTTAGCTTATGATATGTTAGGCTACTTCATAGGGTTTATATAGAGTGGATAGGCACGTTACTATTGAGGTTAGATCAACCAAATTTATGATATTAACATGAAATCATGGGTCCCTAGCATCATATAAGACAATAATCTTGTGATTAATCTCATGTGCATATTATTCAATCTCAATATTCATCTAAGACCATGTGTAGGGGAATATCGAATGTCTATACTATACAAGTGGTGTAATTTATATACTTTTCTTGACTTATGATACAATATAATATCACTATAAAATAAGAAAAGTAGAAGAAAAAGACCCGTGACACATTGGCATTACTATGTTCCAGTGTGCTAATTAGTCACGGGCGTTCATTGGTGGCCTCAAACGTTATTAGGAGCTCAATTAAACACAGTATGCAACTTTTGATATATGGCCTTATTATCACAATTTGACAATTTAGTAATGAGAATAATCGATCTTTAATCCTGTTTGGGGTAAAATTGTAGTGGTTCTACGAGTTATGTAGGAGTCAAATGTGTCTTATGATTATGTTCTTTATCTGCTAAGCTCTGAACTCACATGTGTAGATGAATGTATGAAGACATATAAGATAACAGTCCATCATTTATTGCAGCTTGTGGTCACATTTCATAAGTAGAGATTGTATTGAGTCTTAACGTCAAAATATAATAGTATATAGAAAACATTTAATGTTTATTTGTTTATTAATTTGAAGGCCTTTTGTGCAGTCTCGACAAGTGGAACAGAACGAAGATTGAAATGTGTAGCAGAGGCCAAGTAGGCACACACCAAAGAGACATAGATCTTGAACCAGATCATCGAGGAGAAGAAGGTGAGATATGCGCAGATGGCTGTGAAGACAATCACTGCCAAGCAGTTTATGAGGTACTTCAATGTGTTGAACTCTTTTTCTGTTCCTTCGTTAGGGAAATGGCCATGTGAGTAGAAGTCATTGAGAAGCTGGTCTTTGAGCTGGAATGTGTTCATTAACCAATCATTGATCTCCTTTTCTTGATTTGGGATTTGGGGTTGGTTGATTCGACGGATGTGTATGTGAACTTCTAATGGTTCAATACCATAGACATTGTCTAAGAAAGACGGACAATGGTTTTTATAACCAATTGTAACATCATAAACTGCATCAAGTGAGCAACTCAATTCTTGCAAGCATGAGATAAAACCTTTTGTCTTTGGAAGCAGGACGTTGTTCAGTACTGGTAAGCCATGTTCAGCTGCAAACTTCTTGCTCCTCTCACATTTAGACTCACTGCATGGTGGAAAAATGCTTTTAACCCAAAAGGGTTTCTAAAACAAGAATGAAAACTACAAAAAGAAGATGCAACTTACGTGTAATCTGTGCCTTCAGGGAAAAGAGCAAGCCACAAAGCATCTCTTGGATTTCTAAAACTCGAAACAATCTTCCTCAAGTTTGCTTCATCGACTTCCCATCTCCGCTCAACGGGGATAAACTCAAAGAGGTGAAACGCCCAGCCAAACAGAGGTAGCTTCATCAAACTGCTCTTAAGCACATACTTGATATTACCAATCTGGCCTTTACGCAGTGCAAGATCCCAAAAGTACATCCAATCCACTTCTGTTCGGTGATTCGCAATGAGCAAAACTCGTTCCTCGCGAGGAACTTTGTCGCCAGAGAAGACAACTTTGGTTCTGTTTATCTTCTCAAAGAGGAAAGGCCACAAGGCGAGCCATGAGCCAAAGAAGAAAGAAACAGATTTACGGCTATAGTGTATGCTGAAAAGCCTCAGGACTACACCTGATAGGAACCCCCAGAAGATTAACATCATAAAAGCTGTTGAAACCAACACCATCAGACATGTTATACCTCTCAACACTCTTATCATAGACAACTTGTTATTTGAGTTTGGTATGTTTGCTTTACTCTTTGTAACTTTCTTTTCCATTTTGTGAACACCTAAATATAATCTTATTTACCCTCCTCTTTTGTGTCTGTTCTTGATTCAAGAAATGGTAGACTCACATAATCACCATAAGAGGCTCGTATGGTTACAACATCATCACCTGTAGTTATATGATCAAAGACTTGAGAACCTGGCAGAACATATATAATATATTATTCAACAGAAAGTTTAAACTGATAATGAAAAGAAATGTTTGGTATTTAATTACTAAACACTACAGGTTGAAAGATAAAATAGATTTAAAAAATCAAACTAAGAATCTAAGGACCTGACTAATCGATTTTAAATAAAGTAAGCTTTGTTCTCAGACTCATATATATACATTGTCTAAAAGAAACTACAGACCATGATAATCAAGATTCAAGCTCAAATCTAACTAAGGAGTAAAGAAAAATTACAATCAGAGAAGAGAGCATTATAAACTTACAAAAAGAAAGAATCAGAAACAATGCAGATGTAAAATAAACAATCAGATTTTTTTTTTGTTTTTATTTGTTCTGAAAGATAGCTGGGAAAGGAGATAGAAGAAGAAGACAGCTTACCATGCTGTGCATATAAACAGTGCAGAAAGAGGAGTTAATGGCCGAGAAAAAAAGATCACTAAGAAGTCAAAAGGACTAAACATGGAGGGTAATTACGGTCTTGTGCCACCGCTCTCGTAGAAAGTACTCAACATGGATGGTGCGCAAATTTAAACCACTGTCCCCTCTCAACCTTTTTTGTTAATATTAAAATGGGCTGGTACGCGTCACCACTATCTATGAATTTTTTTTTTTTTTTTTCTTGTAACAACCACTATCTATGAATCAATTAATCATATTACTGTATACTCCTCTCCCCATTTTTTTTCCCATTGTGCTCTCTTCTAAATTTCATTTTAGGTGTGTATTGAATTGGAATTTGAGAATGTTTGGAGGGATTTTTTTAGTTATGGTGAGATTTGGGAGGACTTTGAGTAAATGTAGATGATTTTGGTAATATTTTAAAAAATAAAAAGAAAAGCCCATTGAAGATTTGGTAAAAATTATATTTGAATTTCAGAATAGTATGATTTGGGATTATTTGTAACCTTTTTTTTTTTTTATAGCCGGTTGAAGTTAAAAGCGTCACTTGCATATATGAATTGTGAATACTCCAAGGTTAATCAAAGTTAATCTAAAATCAACGGTGAGGATAGTCTAGGGGTGGGTACTTTATCCGATACCCGAACTCGTACCCGAACCCGATCCGAAATATCCGAACCGAAATCCGAATCGAAGTACCAAAATACCCGAATGGGTATTGAGTTAGGAGAGTTTGGATATCCGAACCCGAACGGATAATATCCGAACCCGAACGGGTATCCGAAGATAACCGAACATATGTATATATACCTATTTATTCCTAGTTTATTTTGTCTCATTTTATTAAAACTATTTATATTAATGTTATAAATAGTTTAATATCAGATAATATACATATAATTGTAAAAAAAAAGTGTTTTGTTACTTATTTAAAATACATATTAAGCTTCTTATTTCATACTTTAAACAAAATTTGCATTCAAAATTCGAAAATAACAACCAAAATAATGATTTTTATTTTCAATAATTTATTTTCAAACTTATTAATTGTCTAACTTATTGAACATTTTAAAAACAGTTAAGTTAATAGTTAAATTTTACATACATAAAACTTAAGTAATAAAGAATTTGAAAATTTTCTTCCAAAATCTAAATATCCGAACCCGACCCGAAATAACCGAACCCGAACTAAAAATATCCGAACCCGACTCGATATGTAAAAATATCCGAACGGGTTCTAAACCCTAATACCGAAATACCCGAAAACTCGAAATACCCAATCCGAACCCGAACGGGTACCCGAACGCCCATCCCTAGAGGATACTACGGTGAAATTTGAATTGTATAGAAAAATCTTTCATTACAGCATACTATAGAAAAAATTTCATTACACCATACCACGCCAAAGGGCCACCACTACATATTAAACAGTTGATAACGAAGTTCCATTTCATTTATCCAAAAGCGTTTCCGTAGCTATTGAAACAACTTTCTATCGTAGATAATCAGAAATCATAAGTTCAGGCCTTTTCATTGTTTTTGTGGACCTTATGCAAGTCCAACTTTTATAAGAACAATAACAATAGTTTTGTAAAAAGGGTTATGTTTGAGAAAAATACTCAAATTTTAGATAAAAATCTGCAAAAAGAAAATTTGGATCTAATACAAATGCACTTCTTGCACTTGCTATAAGACGGGCCTGAGTTAAGACATAGAATAGATCGATCGAAATAAAATATTAATCATAGGTTAGGGTAGTATGTGGGTGGTTTCCACCACCACGTATGCATCCAAGAGAGAACATTAACTATACAAGAAATTTTAGTAATCATTTTGACTTTTGTCTTCTGATGATGAAGTTGTAATTGAGATTTGTTTGATTTAATGATGTCAGATTAGACTGATAGCCTGTCATGTTTAATACTATATAATGATGTACACATTAGACTCATTTATCACATGGAATTTGTTTGTCGGTCTTCTAAAAGAAAGTAAGCCACCATTTTCGTAATTAAGAGCATTTAGACTAACCTTATTAGTATGTGGTGGAAGTGAATTTTCACGATTCAATACGCCAGCAACACATGAACAACTGACAAGCTATGTCGTACAGAGAATGATACTTTGGTAGCATGTACTATAATATTATCATAACTCAGCTGAAAACTCATTAGACAAAGAGAGAGAGAGAGAGAGAGAGAGAGAGAGAGAGAGAGAGAGAGAGAGAGAGAGAGAGAGATCTTGTAGGCATCCTTTAGAATTTACGAATTGGCATACGAGTTTGAGACATCAGTTTTGTATTACCACCGTGTTAAAACCAAAACTATGATACTTTATTTTTAAATTTAAAACAAATGGTATCATTAGAAAGTAAATTCAAATTAAAATTGTTATAAACAATACACACGTACATTGACTTGTGAAATTGTTTTAAACAATACACACGTACATTGACTTGTGAAACAAAAAGTGGAAGTTTGAAGGTTGAAATTTGAAAACATGCTTAAATTCAACAAATTACTTCTACACTTTACCCCTCGAGATTTACAAATTACTACTCTTACATATTCAATCGTGTTGGGATGATGGGGTCTTCTTAGTAATTGTTTCAGAGAATCAGAGCTTCTCTCAATCATCGCAACAAATCCACCCTTTGGCAGGAGGTGAACGGCTGAAGTTTACACTAATCTGTTTTTCCTTGCGACTGTGAATTTCTCCATCTTCTCCTTCATTGACTTGTTATACACTCAAAACTAATCAGCTTTCACATCACATACAAAATATAAAATAGGTAGAGAAGATTCTAACAACATGATAATATCATATTATATATATGGAATGTACATTAAGCAAATGACTTACGAAGTTTCCGGTTTCTGAAAACTGGAATGATTGCCGAACAGGAAGATGCGATGCATACAAGTAAAAGTGAAGCTATTAGTAAAATAAACTTGACATTCATTTTCTTTTTTTTTTTGCTCCATTTATCTTCTGGCTTGCCAAGTATAAATAACAGTTAGTGTACGACTATTAGGTAGAGATTATAATCAGGGTCGTTCTCACCACAGTCGGTAGTGATATATATAAGTCAATGCATTTTAAATGAGCCGATGTTGATGACCTTTTAATCTTGTTCTTTCTCTCTATACTTGCATGAGATGAAACAAATAACATGAAGAGGTAGGTATCTTGAAATTATCTCCAACGTTAATCATCAATTTGAGTTGAAAACGAAAAAAAACTCATTTTTATTTTCTTTTACAAATAAAAAAAAACATCATTTGAATCGATATGAAAAGTATATCTGAAGAAGTGAACACACACACACAATGATACACGGAAGAGAAGAGACCCAGCTATTAAGAGCACCCCCATTGAAGGTTCATGGGGGGAGTTCACACGGAAATCAAGAAAAAAAAATAAAAAAATAATAAAAATCTATGAACCCCTCTCTCCTAAAGTTCACCGCGGTGAACCCCTTTCTCATGAGGTTCAACACGTGGCGGCTCGGGATTGGTCTAGATTTTTTTTTTTTAAAAAAAAAAAAATCTAAAAGAAAACAGAAAATTTTTAATAATAAAAAAATGATTCAATGAACCGCAAGAGGAGGTTCATTGATGTGGATGCTCTAGGGGATGTGTTATGAAAGTGACCGAGCAAAAGTGTAAGAAAGGTATTTTGACTGTGACTCGTGACCTTGAAGTTGCTTCCAAATAGCATGAAGAGGTACCTTAGGGCGATCATGACAAGCTAACTTGCTGCATAGAATTTGGCAAGTCTCTATAACCAAGCTAGAAGGTTATTTGGAGATGGAGGATTATAATTGAGTATTTCTCTCCTTCCACAACTACTAGACCTCTAGTACTATACACATAATTTCATTTATTAAAAGAGTATGTATCACTCAACATTAACAAATAATCAGAGATCACAAGCTAACAAGATGTATGTCATACTTACTGATCGAGATGAAAGATCATTACTAGAAATGATTATGTGGATAAAAACTGGTTTGTGTCTATTTTTATAGTAATTTGATTTGGCAAGTAGATGTTTATCTTCACAGTTTCATACGATTTGTATCAAATTTTACTTGAAGTCAGACTAAAATATCAACAGTTGGGAAAGAAGGAAACATGTAAAACCTAAAGAAAAACCCTTAATTACTCTGTTTTCATGGTTTCCACTTGGAATAGAACATGTGATCACCCGACATCAACATTGATATTTCCCGGCCCAGCCCAATATTTTAATAAGACCCATACAACTAGGACTATTTGTTAACTTCCCGGCCCAGCCCAATATTCTAATAAGACCAATTCTGGCGAGGCACACATGTCTAAACCCTAATAAACAAATATTCTAAGTTACTGTGTGCATCGCTATTGGCTAAAACAAGCATAAGTGTTATCTGCTAAAGCTTTTGTAAAAAAGGTTAAGGCATCAACCTCTTGTATGGACAATTTTTTTGCATACGTTACACGACCAACTATATAACACTAGCCTGAAAATAGTAATACTAGATTACTGTGTCTGTGTGCGTGGTAAGAAGAGTAGTCGATATGCTTGGGAGTTAGTTTGTGTTGAAAATGTGACAATCGAGACAAGAACTCAGAAGACAAGAAAGAGTTGTCGCCTTACGTCTCGGAGAGAAAACTACGGAACATAAACATGGGAAACCACAAACGAAGAACACAATCCCAAACTATGAATCTTCTATAACCTCTTTCTTGGATTCTTTTTATATATTCACAAAAGTTTTGTTTTGTATACGTGAATTTACGTTCAGCCACATCAAATTATTCCAAATAAAACCATCTCTAGCAATATTTTGCAAAATATGTTTATTTTTTGATAATGTTGTCGATGATATAGCGCCAAAACTTGTGTTGTGTCATTGGCTATTGAGGACTAGTCTGTTACAACTTACAACATTAAATAGCACATTTATTTTAGAAAATACTCCTATAGTAGATAGCAAAAGGTTTTGACAGCTTTCTCACCTTTCATCGCTTTTAAGGCTTTCCTTTACCATTTCAATCAAGTGCTTGCCACTCCATGCACGATCCTCTTTAATCAAAATTACACCCCACCAAAGTAACCTTTTTGTCATTTACCATTAGTAAATCTTGCGGATAATGCTTTGTCAAAAGAAGTTTTCTTTTTATTTTCGTGAAATGCTTTTACAAAATTTTGAATCTTTAGTGGAGCTTATAAAGGTTCCACTTGACTACATATATGGCCAACCATAAAAACGACGTGGAGCTTGATTTCAGAAGAGTCTCATGTATTTCTATAATTTTGAAATGTTGAGCTCTCCCACGAAAATACTACGTGTCTATCTAATTTTATTGTTATGTCCATATAAAAGGAAAATAACTTAGAAACCAGGTAATGTATCATGAAAATAAAATTAGCAAACATACAATCAAGCTCAACCTAGCGTAATAAAATCTTATGATTCTGATCAGGCCAGGTCCTATATTTATCCGCTCAAAGCGTAAAATATTACTATACTAACTCCTTTTGATACTCCTGTTTAGTTCTTATATAGATTTTGGTGTATAAAGCTCCTGAGTTTCAGCCCTAATCCCGTCTTGATTATCATCTAAGAACCAATATGATCTTGAATTAACATAACAACTTCCCCACGCACACAAAAAAAAAAACAGGAAATCTCCAATTTGTTAGTGGTCCTTGGTGATTTTTGTTTGCATGAAAAAGGCAACTTTTTACAAAACACCAGACCCGATGTCAAACCAATAATTACATATTGTTTGTTTCTTTTGATGCAATTACCCAAAAAGAGAGACATTTTGTTTTATTTTAAGATACTTTATTTTAATAATAATAGTGTTTCAATCAAATACATGTTTCTTTCCAGGATCGGACTGGTCAAATATGAAATAATGAATCATGGAATAGATAGATAGCCAAATTATTTCTATAATCATTATGCAAATGGTTATATCCGACAACGAGTTATATTTAGATGGAATTTTGACCACGCTATAGATAATAAAACAGTTGTGATTATTATTCACAAAATACTCGAAGTTAACATAAATAGTACTATAAGAAAATAAAATTTAATTGTATCCAAGCAAAAAACATATTGTGAAAAAAACTAAACCCTAAAAAAAACTTGATGCCAATTATAACTTAAAAAAAACTGTCTGTGAATTATATGGATATATGCATTTACTGTAACCCAAAGAAGTTAGGTGAAAGAAGAGATGAAAAAATAATACTCCTAGTATCAAACAATTTAGAACTTTTACATTCTCTATAACAAAAATACGTTTTGTGTAAGAAAAAGCATAATAATAAGATAATATTTTCTTTATTTCTTGTGAGTAGTCCATTCGTGGTATAATGTTTATTCACTGTAATTTCCATCTGTTTTTTACTTTTCCATTGTTCTTCTGTAACTTTTTCTCAATAATACATTGTTTTATATATCTCACTAATACATTGTTTCAGTGAATATCAGCTCTTGAGTCGTTTTTACTTCTGTTTTTCACATCACAAAAACTCTTCAGAGCACTCATGACGACACCAACTTCGATTCACAAACGTTCGAGAAGGTTTTGTCTCTTCTTTCTTCATTACTTTATATTTAATTTAGCAGCTGTGTCTTTAACAGTTTTATCCATCATTATCCCAGTGATCCGGTCCTCAAAAAACCTCTCAAGAACAACAAATCAAGTGAAGCCATTCACAACATCGATAGATTTCATATGGTGAGAGTGGCCAACTTTGTATTTCATGCTCTCTCTCTTCATCAAATTAACATAAGTTTTTGCTTCTTTAGGATCAAACGTTACAGAGAGAGATAGAGCAGCTCAAATCTCTTGTAAAATTCAGAGCACTACACCCCCAGAGAGTGTCATGTGATGAGGTTTGAAGAAATTTTTCTCTAAAGATTTTTTTTAGGTTCTTTAAAAAATTTCAAAACCGATTTAAAATCATCAAAACTCTTTATTAATTCTGCAGATTGATTTTCTGCTTCAAGAAGATGAGGTTTTAGTACGGCGTGAACTGGAGACAGTCCTTAGACGAAAACTGTTCTTGGAAGATTGTAGAAACGAAGATCCTTCTATTCCCAAGGTTATACAAAACTACTAACCTGTGACTACCTTGTAACACAAGTAAGCAATTTAAAATAAATGTATTTTTAATGGTTTCTTGATTTAGGAAGCAAAGAAACTGGTTGGCGAAATTGCAGCATTGGAGCTGCAAGTGATGTACTTAGAAAGATATCTTCTTTTGTTATACCGAAGATTCTTCAACAACAGAATTACAAGCAACTTAGAACCAGAGGAGAAAGAGATATCAGAGGATCTTCTTGTGTCTACTAATCTCATTAATTCACCAAAAACCGCGAGCCCGCAGAAAGTTCTAGAAGATTCAGGAATATTCCGTAGCCACTCATCGTTGTCTCATTGTTCAGGCTATTCCTTTAGAATGTCTCCCCAAGCAATGGACTCATCATACCATCACTCTCTTCCTTTCTCAATGCTTGAGGTAAATAGCAACTTTGATTTAAAGTGATTTTATTTTCTTTACCAAAATTAATATGCATTTTTTTTTGGTTACAGAAAGCTGATATTGATGCGATGGTTGGAACATATGTTTCTGAAAATGTTACCAAATCACCAAACAGTTTGTCTGAAGAGATGATCAAGTGTATCTCAGACGTATTTCGTCAACTTGCGGATCAAGAATCGAGTAGCCCTAATGGGAAGCTCAAGGTCACTAGCAGACCTTATGACAAGTTACTAATGGTGAAAACTATATGTAGAGACTCAGAGAAGTTAAATAAAGTTGAACCTACTTTACAGCATTTCAGGTTCTTTTTTAACATCAGGCTCTTTCATGAACAACTTCTTGGTTTATATTAGTGAGACTATGTTATTTATTTAACTGTATCATTGTTTCTTCAATGTAAAATGTTTAGGTCGCTTGTTAATAAGTTAGAAGGAGTGAATCCAAGAAAGTTGAATCATGAAGAGAAGCTAGCTTTTTGGATTAACATACACAACTCTTTGGTTATGCATGTAATGCATTCTGAAACTTAATATTCAACTTGATAAATCTCTGTAAAACATTAACTTCTTTTCTTGGGTTTGTGTTCTGTCTTTTTTTTTTGCAGTCAATTCTTGTCTATGGGAACCCTAAAAACAGTATGAAAAGGGTATCTGGGTTGCTGAAGGTAGTAGAATTTATCTTACTTGAGTCTCAAGTCACCAGTTAAGTAAATAATACAAGGTCTTATTCTTATGTGAATAATATAGGCAGCGTATAACGTTGGAGGACGAAGCTTGAACTTAGATACAATACAGACTTCGATTCTTCGTTGCCGTGTCTCTCGTCCAGGACAGGCAAGTTTAGTTGGCTCAGAGTTTTTGACGTTTACAAGTTCATTTCAGAGCTTAACGAATTTGCTTATTCGCAGGTATTTAGGTTCTTGTTTGCTTCTAAACCAAAGGGAAAATCTGGAGACTTGGGTAAAGATTATGCTATAACTCACCCTGAGCCTCTTCTTCATTTCGCGCTTTGCTCTGGGAACTTCTCAGATCCATCAGTAAGCAACTCAAACATGTTCCTTGTATTACACGCTTCCACGTGAAAGGATTATGATTATATATGTTTTAAGCAACACATGGTTCTTATAGGTTCGTATTTATACGCCGAAGAACGTGATGATGGAGCTAGAATGTGGTAAAGAAGAGTATGTAAGATCAAACATAGGAATCTCCAAAGACAACAAGATTCTTCTGCCGAAGTTGGTTGAGTTATATGCCAAGGACACTGAACTTTGCCATGTTGGCATCCACGACATGGTCATGAACCATCTGCCTTGTGACGCAAGAAATAAAATCCAGCAGTGTGTGAACAAGAAGCATGGAAGATTCACCATCGATTGGGTCGCATTTGATTTCAGATTCAGGTTGCTTCTCTGAGAGGAAAACATCAGATTGTGAACCGAGAGGTTTATTATTTATTTGAGAGTTGAATTCAAAAACTTGTATCGTGCCAATTTTTTCAGTTATGGTTTCGCATGAAGATTGTGTTAGACCATCTCCAATGGTGCTCTATAATTTTCTCTATATTTCACTCCAAAATAGTGAAACTTTATAATAGAGTTGGATTTGCTCCAATAGTTTACTTTATAATAGAGTTAACACTATAATAGAGTGGGATATAGAGGAATGTTGCTTTTTCACTCTATATTTGGAGTAAAAAAGCAACATCCCTCTATATTTCACTCTATTATAGTGTAACTCTATTATAAAGTAAACCATTAGAGTAAATCTAACTCTATAATAGAGTTGCACTATTTTAGAGTGAAAATTATAGAATATTATTGGATGCCCTTATGGTTACATGTAAAAATAAGTGCCTATAGAGCATGGCCGGCCCTGGGCAATGCCTAATGAAACATTTGTTTCAGGTCCCCAAAAATTTTGTAGAAAATTACATGAGCATAGGCCCCCAAAAATTTTTTCACTTAGAAATCACCATAGGTCCCCAAAATCTCAGGGCCGACCCTGCTATAGAGATATGATATTATAATGGACTGAAACACATTTAGTGCCTATAGAGATAAGTCATGCATGTATACATTACTGTGGAAACTCAAAAGAAGATTATTGTAGACACGAAGATTTAGAAGAGGTTGAAGGTAGCGCTGGGTAAAATATCCGTAAATTTTGATTCGATTCGTTATCCGTTTCGATTCGAACCAAAAAATCTGGATATCCGTAACTCTACGAATCAAAGCAAATACTAAAATGTGATATCCGTAAGAGACGAAACAAATAACAAATACTAATAACTTTAGGAACGAATATCCGATCTGATCCGTTATCTACATATATTTAAAGAAGTATATATAGAAGTTATATAAATATATACTTTATTTATGTTTTACAAGATTATTATTTATTAAATTTCTTATATTAGTTATTAGAATTTTTAAAATTAATGAATTTTATTTTTGTAATAAAATATTATTATTTTATATTATTTTGGATTTTATTTATTTTTAAAAAAATTATTTTATTTTTACGGATCGAATCGGATATCTCGTAAATTTTAAAATTTTCCAGATATCTGGGATGGCGAATATCCGAAGAGTTACGGATCGAATCGAATCGGATAATTGATTATTCGAAACAAATGGATCGGATCACAAATATTTCCGAAGATCCAGATATTTGCTTCGTGCTGACTCCTAGTTGAAGGAAACCCGTACGTCAAGGAGTGGTGGACCAAGCAGTCCATTTCCAATTATATTATTATGAAATCAAATCTTATCCACTAATTCAAAAATTGTTGTTACTTTTTTCATGAGTCTTCGTCCTTTATATATTATGTGTCCCCTAATTAAATCTAATTTACAACTCCAAACAAAATCTCAAAAAACAAACATATTTAGTAAAGTTGTTTGTTCTGTAAATCACACATGTCGTTGCAACAGTCTTCCATGCGTTGATACTTATTTATTTATCGGTCGTGTTTTCGTAATTCGTCAAACAAGGCGAAAGGTGTTGCGTGATCTTAATACAATGTTAATAAGCAAACACAGATTACATTTTATAGTGATAGTTAACTGAGTAACAATAGCAACGCTCCAGGATACATATGGTTAATGATTTAGACGATTATATAACACTTTTCTTCCTCGTGGTGCGTACATTACTCACCTAACAAATACACTTATTCCTGATTTCATATATACATGGACATGGTGATGATGTCACTTATAGCTCTACATGTATAACTCATATCAACACGTGGTCCTTTTAGCTAAAACTATACTAGCATTTTTGTTTTGTGACCAACCGTTTCAGTTTTGTTTAGATTCTTGGAATCTGTTTGATGAAATTATCACGCAAAATTGAACAACTAAAACTAATAAAATAGCGCCACGCAGGTTAATCTTATGGGTCTTTTTATTTCGGTAAACCATGCATATGCTTATTTGTTATACCAACCCTATCGGTTGGTGATGATAACCCAGAAATTCAATAAACTACTGAATATTGTATAATCTAATATTATTAAAACTGAAATATATTTGAAAATTGTTTGGAAACATGAATAAAATAATAAATAAAAATTACTTGTATAAATATAGATAGAAAAATAAATGAGAATTGTTTAGAACATGGATAGCAGTATAAAAATAGTATTTTTTTACTAATTTTATCAATTGTATTATGTTAACAAGATATCACATCGTTAGCGATATTTAATTTAACAATTCATCAAATCGTTAATTATATTACTATTTAAAATAATAGTGTAAATTTTTATTTATTAGTTAATCAATATTAACTTCGTGAAAATTATAAAAAGCAAATATAAAATTACCGAGTCATGCATATGGTTAATAGTTTGGTTCAATATGTTTTAGTAAAACTTTCTTTTATCTTATTTCCAATCGGTGAAAAATTATGTAGCCAAACATATAATTCAAAGACATAGTTTATGTGAACAAAATAATAACTTAAATCAAAATAATTAAAACGTATTACATTTTTTTCACTTAATGTTTCACTTCAGATAACTATTTTACTAAATAAAAAATACTTTCTATTTTCTTTATTTTATCCAAACATATAGTAAAAGTTTTATTAAAAAAATTATTTATAGAATCAGTTAGGTATGGACATTTGGATACTCATATACATAATACACTTGGATATTATAAATTTATGTGTGGGATTCGAGTTGGATCTTCTCGGATCTAAATGATTTTTTGATTTTGATGTGCAAAAACATAAAAATATCTAAATAACCAATATATCTGAAACGGATTTGGATATTTGTACTAAAAATAATTTTATTATCCGATTCAGTCTGGATCTTTTGAATACAATTAGGTATACAAAGATACATCTCAAATATAAAATGGAGACTAACTCCAAATGCCCCTTTCACTCATAAAAAATACTCAATTCTCCCACTAATAAAATATATATATATTTTTTATTTATTTTTAAATACGAAATCAAGACAAATACGAATGTAACCCTAAGAAAATCAAGTAATTACAGATCCAACCATAGATATCCGACCCACCCAAATCCAATTGGGCACAACCCGATTCTTAAACCAAAACACTGCGTTTTGGACTTAAACCAAAACACTTCGACTCTCCTTCTCCTCTCTCTCCCTCTCGACGAACTCATCTCCATCTATGGCGATTCTGAAACCCTAGCCTCCGTCGGTTGCGTTCGTCCTCCATCGAATTCAAGAATCCATCAATCTCTCCCTCTTATTTCTCGTCTCTTAACTCTCTCTTTTCTCTGTTCTCCGCCGAATTAAACATAACCCTAGAGTTGAGAACCGCTTTGTTTCTGCTTCCTTCTCCGCCGAATCGAGTCTCCATCTCCGTTTCTTCTGGTAAGTGAATAGTTTCCCTTTGTTTGGTTGTTAATTAGGTTATTTTGTTAGTAGATCTAAAAAAAAATAAGGATTGGGAATAACTTACGACTTTGTTTCAGAAACATATATAAAATTGTTTGCATCCCGATTTGGGTATAACTTGCGACTTCCATTAGGATTACTGGTTTGAACAGAAACATATATAAAAATTGTGATTTTTGTGGAGAATCGAGTTGATGATTGACTCTTTGAACTGAAACATAAAAATTTGTGGGTATTTTCTTATTGGATATGAAACCGAAATGTTGATTGACTCTTTGAATGTAAATTGAAAGAGAGTTGGTGATTTATTGAGTGAATGAATTGTTTG